AATGGCTTAACAGTAAAACAGAGCTTGAGTAGACAATTATTAAAAGACTACCTCAAAAGTTACTACCTCATTATTCCATCTATTTCCCTGAAAAAAAATCTTGAAAAAAATGTACAGCGTGATTCTCTGGCTAGTTTTCCGACAAAGTTTGACTCTGTTGATTGAAATAACTCCCGGGGTTGCAAGTTTCCTATGAACGCTCCCGCTTTTTGTGATCTGTTATTGTTGTTGAAATTCAAGGGCGAAAATATAGGTTCTCGCGCAGCTGTTTCCAACGAGGGGGAAAACGTTTATTCTGCAGAGCTGCATTTGTTGGCTCGAAAAGACAATTACAAGGGCGACTAAACACTCCCTTTCGACGTGTTCGAGAGTCTCGTCGTTGGATTTCTCCGGTATTGATCTGTCGTTTTCCGCTCGATCTCTTAATCTGTTCAGTCCCGCTTTTTTCCGCCGTTTCGCGGACGTACGGTATTTTTCTTTTCGAAAAGTTTTTGCTTATATTTCGCTCTTGCTCTGGTTTTAGCGGCGGGCTTAAGATGGGATCGAATGTTTATCAGCAGAGAAAGTCTCGAGACTCTTGGTCTGATGCGACGTCTTGATTGGTCTTGGAAGTTTGGTTCAAATTTGAAATCTTGATTGATCTCGAAAGTCTTGATCGGTTTTCAATGGTTTTTATCGAGCGCCAAGTCCTGGTTGAGTCTCGAAACTTTCGACGTGCCCTCAATATTTTACATAAATAAATGCATTTGGAGATTCGACGAGCTTTTCATTATGCGTTAAATGCACTCCAGTAGCTATTTACATTCATAAATTGTGCTTGAATGAGTAATTAACTGCATCGATAATATCAAAATTGATCGGTTTCTTATATATAATTTATCATCTATTCATTATTTCTTGAATTGTTTTTTTGAAAATTGATGAAGTTAATTATTTGTTAATAAAGAATTTATAAATTCGTCGATTGATTAAAATTGAAATACTTATTGGAACGAGTCAATGTGTCAGAAAGCTTTTTGAATCACTAAGTGTATTTATTTTTTTATGTCATGTCACGCCTAAATGTTTAGAACTCGTTGAAAGTTTCCAAACCCATCAAGACTTCAAGATCGATGAAGACTTTCAAGTGCAATCGAGACTTTCAAGATCTACCAAGATTTTCAAGATGTTCGAAGCGATTTGAATCTTCACAGCCTTGAAAGTTTCGAATCTCATTCCGGACACTGATCAGTAGACTTTATTTTATTTTGTCTATACTGTCACCAATGCAACCTGAACCAATTGATTTTGGATTTCAAGTTTATCGTGCCATTTAAGTAAAAAATTGCAATGAAGATTGTAATTGACCCGTCCTCATGATCAATTCCTTCTTTGAAAAGAGAAGATGAATACCATTTTACGTTTTCGTGGCCTTAGTCTTCTGCAAACCTATTCTGTGATCATTTTCGCGAGCGTTATATGCGTCTCTCGGAAGTTCGGAGAAACTGTTTTTCCTTGTTTCTTGTTTCTGTAAATTCGATGGGAGATGAGGAAACCTTCTTCGAGAACTCGCGCCAAGAAGCACAAACAGATCGAGCTATTGCATTAATTCCTTCTGTTTGTTCACCGCAGAGTCTAAAGAAGCGTGAAAGGAAATACGAAGATGTAAACGATCACCTTGGAAATCTATTCCGGGGGGAAAACATTTTCCGAGAAAAACGCGAGCATCGATTTTAAGAAACCATTTTCGCTCAGAAATGAGTAATTAATATGTATGACTCATGAACATGATACTGTATTCAATTTCTACGATAATTTAATTAGCAACAAATTTATTCATTACAGAATTCTCGAAATTAAGAAAAATAATACAAGTGCTTTTAAATTACAAAGGGTACGATAATAAAACAGTCGTGATCAAACAATTTAGATTGAGCTTTTAAGTAAATACTTCTTTGCAATTTTCATAATATTTGAGGCAAATTAGATTGGTGATTGTTAAAGAGAAAAAAAAATCAACATTGCATTTAGATGAGAGTACGAAGGGGTTAATTTCCTTTGTCAGGAGGTCTGTCTACAACGTTTTGCTTTCCTCTTTCGCAAAAAAGGGTCGTTCTAACCGCGACGCTCCCGATGTCCTCGACTGGTCACCGAGATAATTAACGCGTTGTATTCAGTAATTAAACGTGGCTTCGTGATTCGTGACACTGACTTTCCAGGAAAGTGGGAGGTAATCGGGTTATCCAGCCGTGAAAGGTGAGTACGTTATACTTCGGACACGAACGTCGTCCACGATGGCCAGTTTTAAGAACTTAATTACGAAAAGTAAATTCATGAAAATTATGAAAAGGATATTTACGAATTTGTACAGTTTTATCATCATTTAACACCCAAAACTGACCGAGAATATCTAATAATCCTCGAAGTTAACTTATTATCTGCTTTATGACTGTTTTCCTACAAGACCAGGAACTCTTAACATTTGCAGGTATAGGAGTATTTGTACATGACTATCGTCGACGAAATTCATCAACAGGCTAATCGATGGGAGCTCTAGTACCAGAACACGAGCCGCGACAACCTCTTTTCCGCTTTGACAGAGATCGTAAGGGGAGAAAGAGCGATCCTCTCGGTGCCTCGAGAGAGCCAGATTCGACCTTCTCCAATCTGTTCCCCTTTCTACGCCCGCGAGTCATAGTCGCGATCGATTTACTCGGTGGACCGAGCTTCGTTATCGAATCTTCGTCGCAGGTGAGCTCGTCTGAGCGGACAACTTTAAGGGGAGCTCGAAGCAAGAACGAGCGAAGGTCGAGACGTTGGGATTGAGGGCAACGGCAGGGTAAAAAGCGTGACACGATGGAAACTCTTTCGCAGACGACATTTTGTATCTTCTCGCGCGGAGACTTATTGCTCAACTTTTTTTTTTCGCGGCTCTTTGAAGATTTTCCACGCATCTAAGGACACGAATTAGTCATTCGTCTTTCCTGACGGTGGAAACGGTCGGGGAAATTTTGTATTAGTAAACTGGGGATAATGGCGTTTTTATAAGGGTGTAGTTTTACTATTCAACTTTGTATTTAATTTATGCAAAAGTGGTCAATTTTGTGGTAGCTAAGGCACCTGAATGATGTATAATTTAATTAATTTTAATTTAACTTAATTTAGATTGAATGGGTATCTGCAAGAAGAGCTAGTGTTACGAATTTGTGAAGTTTGGATTTTTTCTTCCGCAACTTTCGCTTAATTCAACATTGCAAAACCTTTACCATTTTTGTACAATTCCAATGCACACCTTCGTTTCACCTCGAGGATCTTCGATTGTCGGATAGCATTAATTGAAATCCTTCAGCCGGTTTCGCGACACCTTCGTTCTCACAGAGATTCATCACGGGAACTTTTCACTCGGTTCGAGCGAGACTTTTCAATTGTTAAATTGAAAGTTACGTCGGTGAATTTAATTGTGTTAATTAATATTCAGGCGCGGTTCGTCTCGGCTGGAAATTGAATTTTTATCGAAGCTCTTCCCCGCGTTATGTGGGACGTCGGCCTAGAAAGTCTGCATCTCGTCGGATCGAAGGTCTGGGGGCTTCAGTTTATTTCGTTTCGAGGGGGTAGGTCCCAGCGGTGTGTGACAAAGTGCATATCTCGATTCGGGTTATGCACTCTCGAGGATCGCATCGAATTAGGATTATGCCCTGGTCAAAGAGTGACGCTCGAGGAGGTCCAATTCCGTGGATTTTATCCTTATGAAATTCGTACGGCTTGACACCGTCGCAAAAACAAACTTAACACGTTCACTGGCAGACTAATAATCATGAAAATTTCTACGAGGAATATTTTTTTTAAATATATAACTAGAAATTACAGGGTCTAACTAATTCTTTACGAATTATTGAAATTTGGGTTCTTTTGTTGGAAAAGGATTTTTTATACGATGATTGATAATTACCTAGTACTTTTAGTTTAATAATCACAGTGATATCCATTGGCGATGTAATACATAAGGTTGTTTATTTACCTATTTCTACAGTAAAGATTCATCTAAATGTAAATCAAGCCACGTCGGATTATAGATTAATATTTAAAAAAGATGAATACATAATCAAAGCACGGATATTCGATAGTATAAATACAGAATTTGAAGGAAATGTGAAACTATTAAATTATTGTAGTAATCAAGTATTGAACCAATTTTTAAACTGGATTAAATTCAAAATAATATCTGAGCCAGTGAACAATGATAAGAATATTTAACTACAGTCGCAAGATTGTAATTCTAATAATAATGTAGAAATATCACGTACCAGAATCCACCTAAAAAATCCTTTCATACGCAATTATATTCTCCCAAACCTGAATATAAAAACTTGAATTAATTTCTTCTCCATTCTGGAATGAAGTACCTACATTTTAATTACTTCTACCATCCTCTACATAACGTTTGCAGACTTCTAAAGCCATACCCATCTCAGCTAAAGATTCCCATGAAATCCCAGAATATTGTTGGAAAATGTTTGGAAACGCTTGACAATTTCACATTTAACTTTGAAATAGAAGTTGGCCGTAACTGGGTCTGAAACCAAATGGGAGCGACGTACTGCTATATTACCAAGATTATGACGTCAGGCTCTTCCGTCATGAACTCTCGGTAGGCGGGCAGTAAATTCTTGCCGTGGCACGCACGATAACAGTGGTACCCTGAAAAATCCTGTCTGATGTATGGCCCCGCGAATTTCGTCCTAACCCCACGACGAGCTATAGTTGATTTCGCCCACGGAAAAGCAACGGGAACGAAGCCTTTCATATGTAAAGACCTGGAAATATTGGCTTTCCGATCGTGATCTGAAAATTGACGACGACTATTGGTTTCCGATCACGGAATAATGGAGTTTCCAAACGAACTTACAGCCTTGACATATTGATTAAATATTTAACACCCGATTCGACGGGGAAACCGAACCCCCCAGGTACGTTTCACGCGCGACTGTTAGACGCAATACTGAAAAATCTAAGGAGCTGTCTAGAAGAAATAGAAATGTTTGAAAAATAGGGGAGGCAATTCGTGTGCGTGATAATAGCTCCAGATATTGAATTAAAGACAATGGAATTACATTACCTTTTATGATACCAAGCTTCGCATCCTTGAACATACATTATTTATTTATTGTATTGAAGACGTGTGAGGTTTGTTATGAATACTCTAGAATTTGGTGTGTCTTGTTTGCCGGAGATTAGCGAATCGTAATTTCGTCTACAGAACCGACGGATGAACGTGCACAAGGGCGACTGTAACGGATTCTAGGATTAACGGGATGGTTTCCTTTGATTAGGATCCTTTGGCACGATTCTGTTCTGCGTACTTGTTCGTTCAAGGATACAGACCTTCGTTGAATATTATAATACACGAGGGACCTCTAAAAAGATTCTAATCCTCTAAACCGTTTACCTTCTCCTCTACGACTGCTGTCTGCAAAGATGATGCAGAATCTAACACGAACTTGTACTAAAGAGTAACCTAGAGTCAGAAATTAAAATGTCCTTAAAACACATGACGATTTGCATCTAGATTAAATTAATTCCTCACTTTGTAAATAAAAATGAAAGTTTAGGACGGAATACTGTCTTCAGCGTGTTCTTCAGAAAATGACAAATTTCTTACACACTTTATAATATTACTCGGGGATAAAGGACAAATTGTAGAAAGTCGATAGAATAGATTCTCCTACGGTATAACGTTATACCGCGAAACAATACAGAGTAGGAACAATGCTATCTGTACATTGTATACACGAGGCGGTTACAATGCACAAAGAATACTGATTCACGATCCTTTCCTTCTATGCAAATTCGATAATCGTAAAATCTTAACGGCACAAACCGAATATCAAGGTTCAGGTGTACAATGATTCGAGATCATGATTCATTGGACAAAACGAGGAAACCGGCAGTGGTTCACAAGTCGGTTCAAGAGCATTTCTAAGGTTAGAATCCATTACATCAGCTTCTACGAATCCATGAACTTCTTTGAGCTTGGGGAATCCTCCTTTAAAATTTAATTTTTATCACATTTTTATGTACACCAAAGGCACACTTTCACTTGTTATGCATCCCGGTCACGTGCTTACCAATGCTCGTTCAGGTTTCCTAGCTATTTTTTGATTCTTCTATTTCGAGCAGAACGCGTTGGCATGCAGCGACAACGGTTTTCATAGCTGAGCGACCGTGTGTAACGAAATCGCTAAAGAACATGACCGTTAAATTGCAACGGGCGCTATGAAAGCAGAGTCCCGTCGAACATCTTTGCTTCTGTTTTACCTGCGATGACGTAAAATTTATGATTCGGCACGTAGCACCGCGGGTATCTATTTTCAGGCCATTAGACCGGCTTCCGTTCCAGGAATTGAATATTAAAATTATTTATTCCGATATCAAAATCTTGTTCAACGTTAATTTTTCCACGGCGTAACCAACTAAAAATAATTTGATGTAAACGAAGGGATAATTCGAAGGGATAATAAAGACGTTTCGACGTTTCGCAGTTATCGAGGAAAAGTGATCGACGCACCATCGGCCTCATAAAGTTCATAAATATATCGACGAGTCTCCCGGCTCATATAATTTTCGCTGTTTAATATTTAAACTTCACTCGCAACTAAATTGCTCGTTAAAGTCGAAACAACTTTCAACCGTAATTGCTGTAATTGCAACTCTCCTGTAATTGGCTACAAAATGGACAACCTCGTTACACGGTCGGACACGTCTCGCGAGCGAATATTGCAAATGGTATCTCGCTCTCTCATCGTTGCACGACGCGAAACACGGAACAGAAGAACACGGTCTTGACGTATAACGTCGAATGACATCGAGTATGAAACAATGCGATTCCTTGCACAATACCACCGCAAGAACGTGGATTCTTGCTCGTCCTACAACGACACTCGCGTGACTGTTTCCATTCCCGTCAGGGGTTGTAACGACGGGTGTTATCTAGGCCATGAAAATTACTTTTGGTAATTTGACAGTGCTCGAATAATTCCTCATGCAAAGAGCGAATCGATCATCCGATTCAAGTCGAAACGCGAAGTTTCAGGTTCGAAGACTTTCGTGCTTTGTGCAGTAGCATGTTCGTCGCCTGAGTTTTTTACGGAACTCTGTACTGACTGTTGAAATTTACATGGTGCAAGTATTTTATTATTCCGAAGAGGAATTTAATCATTAGATCGTTATGTGGTTAATGTAAGGCAGAGCTCTGGATCTATGTGAAATTAAAAAAAAATTCAGTATCTTCAGTATCTTCATTTCCGCACAGAAAAGCTAAACTGTTAAAATAGTATAAACTCACTCAGTCAATATTCCACAAGTCCAACTCGAAAGGTATGACATCTTAAGGGATGAAATCAATTAGCAAATAAATAAGGACTATGCCAATCCTCCTATTGAGTCAGATATTTTTCTCTGAAAAATGTTGGAATATCTAGATCACTATCTGCGTTTCACAGCAATAAATGTTCTCAAAATTTCGTTCTGTTCCACGAAGAGCTCAATCATGAATTTTTACTACCGCTTCTCGGTATCACGGTAAACATTTCTGTGTGAAATAAACACGTATCGACGCAGATGCCTATGCTTCAGGCGGAACGCTCGCTGCTTCCGTTGCGTGGAATGAAAAATTTACGTTCTCGTGTCACTATAACCCCATGACGTGTAGCGTTGTAATAAACGAGGAAAAAAGAGCGCAAAGGACCTGAGGTGTGATCGATGAACGAATAGATAAGTCGGTGGACGTGGACATAAAATATGAAGTGAACCTGTAAGAAACGGCGCCTGTGGGTGGAGAAGGAAGATATGAAAAGTTCTTGCTGGTAGAGGGTTACATAATCGACGGGGAAATGAGACAATGATCGTTTGTCATCATTCAGTTTCGACAAAACATTCTTTTCAATCTATGAATTAACGCTGAAACAATTTTTAATTTAAAAATTCCTAATCTTTATGCCCTATTCTGTATTTTATATAATAAATTCTAAAATCGATCGATTTTGTTGTTGAATAATTTTTTAATAGTTACAGACACAGAATGATTAATGGAATGAAAAAATAAAGGGTACACAGGGTGTGTTTGGAAATTGAGACCAGTTCCCCTCTAGGAGAAAACAAAGAAAAGTCGAGGAAAAAGTTGGTGACTTAATGAGGACCGTCTTTTTATGGTACAACTTTTTTCTCAAGTGCAACGGTACATTATATCCTTGTACTTCTTATTTCGAAACAGAATTATGTCTTTCTTTTAGACAATTCGATTCTCTTCCTACTTCAGCGCATGAAATTATGAACCCTTTGTTACGCGACACTTTTATCTTTTTAAAAACTGTCGACCATTTTTATGTCGACTTTATTATCATGTTTCTACGAAGAATCAAATAAATGTACTCAGTTTTACTTTGTATATTACACACAACTAAAGGAATATTTACTTAAATATTTATTTTATGGTATTATACATGTTTTGTGTTTTTCAATGTCACAATTAATTTGTATTGGATCGAAAACATATAATATTTTTATCCATCATATTTTCATTCTTCTTTTACACTATTGCGAACATATTAAATAAGGTCCTCATTAAGATATTCAACAATTGTCCTTATCCTTGTTTAAGAGGCAGCGTCAGACCGTTCCAGATTCCAGAATCGCCTCGCAGCGAAAAATTGTCTGTAAAGAGACCAGCAAAGAAGGGAAACGAAATCAAATGAACCTGGAACGAGATGAAGGAACGAGGCAAAGAGATACGTAAAACTTATCGACTACTAATGAGGGGGAGAATGCAGAACGGGGGCGCATGAAGAATAATCGAAAGATAATAAGGAAGAAGAGGAGTAATCGAGTAAAGAAAATATGCATTAAATTACGGTACATTTTCCTACAAGGAAATAACAATCCCAGAGATAGAGACATCCTCGATAACAAGTAAAAGCAGGAGTATTTCACGTTAAACTGGACGTGTAACAAAGGATTTATATAAACAGAAGGAGCTGCAGAGTGTGTTTTATGTATTACCGACAGATTTTGAGAGACAATAGGATGGCCTAAGACAATAAAAAAACATTTATCTAGTGTGTTTTAAAATTACAGGTAGAAGTTTTAGTGGTTAATGGAAGGAAGAAAATGAAAATATTTTTATTGAATATTGTCCTAAGTAATAATCGTTTCTAAGATATGCTTTTCAGTTTAATTTATGATTATTGAGGAACCACTGAAATATTAAAGCCTTGCAAGTTGTCTGAGAAAAATAAATTCTCACAGAAGGTTAAATACCGTTTACCCTTTTTAACAAGTATATCAAAGCCTATAAATTTGTCCATCGAGCAAATCAAAAGCCTGCCACAACGTTTCCTTCGTTATTACCGTCGCGTCAATTGGCGTTAAACCGGAAAACACCCTGTATACGCGAGCAGAGGAAAGAGAGCGAGCCCTACGATGGCACAGGGTTTAGGGTAGGACGCAGCTCGCAGGAGCAGTAATATCGATCGATCGTCGAGTTCGAGGCTCGACAGGGTCGACTGGGGGTGCTGCAAGTAGAAAAGCTCTCCCATAAGCAGGCAGGCAGGCTGGCTGGCTGGCTGGCTGCCCGGGCACGGACCGTTTCCACTGTCTGTCCGTCCGTCTCCACGCTCTCGACGGCTCCTCATCGCGCTGCTCACGCATCGCGTCGCGACGACGGCGACGTCGGGGAACACGGGCCAGCGAAAGGTGGCTCCGGTTTTGTTCTCGCTCGCCGTGCGCCCGTGACGGATCCGTACGCGCGGCTCTGTTTCACGCTTCGCCGGGCTGTGACCCTGAATACTAGTGACAGTGCGTGTCTCCGACCTTGGCACGCCGTTCGCCAAAAGTTCTCCAATGGCAGCGCGAGCAACGGTACCCGCCACAGCTGATCGACCACCGGCCAAGCCGAATTCCTCTCGACTATCTACCAAAGGATTTCGTCACGAGGCGTAATCAGGTGTGTTTACCGGGGAACCATTCTCTTCGGGGGCACTCGGTTCTCCAACAGGTCAATTGGGAAATTGTTTCTTTAACCTAGGAGGAAAATTGGCGTTTCGAAATTTTGGAGGTCTTATGGTCTTATTGGCGAGGGAAAGTATGAAAGTGACTTTACATGTCTGGCTTGTGTTTTTTAAATATGTATTGGAAGGAAGTCATTCGAATATACAAATGATCCTGTGGCTCTCAGAGGAGGTGAATGTTCGTATCTTGAGAATTTTTTGTTTGAATTTGCAATGGACAGTATGATAGGGACTTATTTGCCTTGTGTTTTTTTAAATATTATTTGATGGGAGTCATTTTGAGATTCAAATAATTTTTTAGCTCTCAGAGGTAGTAAATGTTCGTATTTTACGAATTTTATGTCTGAAGTGGCAACGGAAATTGTATTAATTTAGTGATTTTTAAATCTAATTTGGTGGAGTAAATATATGATTGTTACTTTATATACATTCATCACACTTGTGTCATATTTTTCATCTATTATAGAATATTAAATTCTTATTATAGAATTAAAAATTATGGTACTAAATACAATATCTGAGGTACAAGTGTGAATTGTATTATTCGTATCAGTGAAACACATATTTGCTTAAACCGCATTAGTCATCATATACTTTAGTATTTCAATCCTATACCTAGGCCCTTTTCCGAAAGTAACCCAACAACCATTCTTCATAACACACTGCACATTGCAAGTAGCACTTTAATACCGAATCGTTAAAACACATAATGTTAAATGTATCTAAATCAGGTACTTGCAAAATGGTGTAAAATTCTTGTCCAGATAAAAATGTCAAATAACGAATAAAAGACTATCCAAAACAATCTTACTAATTTATTATTCAAACAAAAAGACTTTGAGTAATGCCATGAAGTGTTTTACAATGAACAAATGAAAATATCGGGAGAATTTGAATAAATAAAATTTGATAGAATAGATTCCAGTGTGTTGATTTTATTCAATTGTGTCCAACTCTGGTTCACGGCGGCGGTGAACGACACTGTCGCGATTACGTAATGGCTGAACTATGCCGGCGAGCGCTGCCAGAAATTTCGTGGTCTCTGGAAGGCTCCATCTTCTTGGCAATATCCCCTTATCGCGAGGGATTGACAGCTGCTTCTGTTTGGTTTACACGTAGTTTGTTTCAATGAACCTGTTTCGTCGACCATCAGGAACACCTGCGTCTATTTCGTTCGCCGTATTCAACCCCTATTCTACGAATTTTGCTTTGTTTTTGAAAGAAGAAAATGGTTAAAATGATCTCGATAAAAAGAAAACCTGAAGCAATTCATTTTATACTACTTGTTCCTTCAATATTGATAAATTATTTTAGAAACAAATATTGACGAAACGCTACAATTTTATATAAGCAGTGTTCTTTATGACCAACTCGCCAACGTCGATTGTAATAATTTATTCGTTATCTACCTGTATATTTATTATTTAATTGGTACTTGAGTGATTGAATCTGCAAAGCTGTTAGGCCTCATATGAAAACATCATGCGCAATCCCTTCACGTTTTCTCGGCGAACATTACATGAATTGTTTTGATCGGATGTCCAGTTAGACACATTGTGCAATGGAGGGTTAATTTCATAATGATGAGCTTTCATTTACTTGAGAATGTCGTATTAGGTAGATCAGATCGGGGCCAGCTGCTTCGTTTGGGAGCATTTAACTCTCTTCTACGCGATGTGCCCTTTGAGGAGTCCAATAATGACAATTATAGCGAAGCTCGCTAACAAGGGAACAGTTTTAATTGTGTTTAGGAACTAGGAAGTTTAGAAAATAGCGAAACGTTCTGTTGCAAGTTGATTATTTCATCCGCGACGCAGATTTTTCGTTGGTGCCCTAACACAGTTTAGGGAAGTGCTGACAACCATTGAAAAAGTGATGATTTATATTTTTTATTAGAATAGATTAACACACAGAAATATTATCTAACAAATTTATGAACATCACTATGCAATGTGTTTTGACATATTCCTAATTTTCTTCAAATGTATATTCAGGATAAACAAATTGTAAAGAAACTACACTCTAAAAATAACAATGTATGTAAAACAACAAAAATAATTAATCATTGAAAATATAGCTATTTACGATAATACTAAAACCTCTACTCATGAGTGAACGTGATCAAGGTCTTTCTTCTTTGAAAATAAGTGTTGATGTATGATAATATTAATATTTTATTTTACGTAATAATCAATAGCCAAGTGTTCAAGTAAATGCAGAAAATTCTCAGCCTGCTGGCTCCAACCGAGTCTGCGCCAGTCTTTACTCATTTTCGTATTTTGTTCCGTTGACATTTTTTCAAAATTGCTTTCCTGTACTGTTATTTATCCCCGGTGGCATATAATCAAGGGATCGTAAACGCGTTAGGCCAGCCCGCGGCGACGCGTCGAGTTGGGAGCAGGTTACACTGACACAGATTTCGTAGGTACAGAATGCACAATATCGGGCTCGGGTTTACGTAAGAGCGTAAAGGGTTAGGTACGTGTAGAGCAGTGAACTACTACCATGGTCAACCGGATGACATTTAAGCGTCGACTATAGCGACGTCCCAGCTACGGAGAATTAAACACCTTGACGTTTTGTTGTGCCTCCTAGCATGAACGAGAGGGTGCGCTCGTTTATAATTAAAATTCACAATCTTTCAGCAGCGAGTTTCGCTTCGACGAAAATCGTTAAATTTTCATTCCTGCGAAGCCACGAAGGCTATTATCGTCGTACGAGATAATTAATTTCTTTCATTTCTCGATTGTTTTCTTATTCATTTATTTCTTCATCCTCGGGTCCTTTTTTTTTGCCTTTCTTCTGTTTCTTCCTTTGTTTTCGACGTTAACGTCTTGCCTTTGTTCGATCCTTTCTGGACCGTGAATTGTTTTGTCCTTAATCTGGAGAGGAAATTGCAAAAGGCAAACGTTGTTTGACTGTTACTTAATACAGCAGTAGAATGTTTTGGTGCATTTACTTTTTGGCGTGACATATCTTAATGTTAATACGAGAAATCAATAATTGTTTGGTACTGTCTTATGGAACTTTCCAATGCTGGCAATAATTGTAATATTGTTTACGCTACATCCTAATAAAATAAGAGTTGATCATATCACAAAGCACACCTTTTACTCTCGACAGATAAAATTAATCGTATTCTCGAGCAATCAAGAATCTACTAATTTAAAATTAATTTCTGTTCTCCATTTAACATCAAATCTCTTTACAGTATATAATTCCTTAAATTTTATTATGACAACTCCTCGTACAGACATCTCCTAACTATTTATAAAATCTCACCAACACTCCCTCAGGGACACTGAGCTCCCGCCACTTTATCCTTTATCAATTAATTAATGGATGTACGAATAACCAAAGAATTACAATTTTTAAAACTAGGATTTTCGCACAACCTAAAGATTGCTTTTCATTTTTTGCGAAATGCTAGGCTCGATGTCGAAAAGTTTCGTTGGGACTGGCTGCTGAACAATCATATCGCGCGGAGGCGATTAAAAATAATGAGATATAAAATTTCGCGAACCGAGGGTGCACACTTCGCTCGCACGGTTCTCACCGAGGGGAAGGTTAAAGACGAAAGCCTGCAACGAACAAGGTCAACAGCTGACGGTTAACGTTAACCGTTCGTCCTATCGTTCGCGGTCCCATGTCGAGTGGAGGTCGACAAAAACTCGCTCGCGTTTCCTGGCCGTCGAGAACTGGAGGGTGATTACAGTATTTGGTATTTTGCTTCAGATTATTAGGACCACTCGGCTTTCAATTTCGTTCGATAATCTTGGCTTCGTCGCTAATTTCCAAAGCTGACAATTTGGTTGCATTGTCTTCATCGTCAGTTTAGAAAGATCAAAGTTAAGGAGGGATGGTGAAGAACTTTATATTGGGTTCGAATGAAATTTTGCTCGTAGTCATCCTTGGCAATAACCAAATAATACGTAGGAGTAATCGATTTAGAAACGATTCTTAATTGACTTCAGAAGCCAAATACGTCAGAAGTCACCCCTCAGGGATAACTATAACAGAGCAAGGGATGTTTCTAGGAAATTTGAGGCTAACTGTCGAGCTCCAAAATTAACACGGAGAAAAGGGAATGGTGAAAATGGCGGACAGGGTAGAGAAATACGGCGTGACCCGGACTGTCAGTTACAAAGCGGCGAGCATTGGAAGGAGTAACTACGTTATTGCGTGGCCATGTATCTGGTGCGAACTTGATAACAGCAATTAGGACGCGAATAGTTATTGTTTAGCGCTGTGACCGTCTGGTAGACGTCGAGCCAGGTGGAATGTTTCTTTGCGACGAATAGTTTGGCTCGGTGTGTCATTGAATGAGGACACAACGAGAACCATCAGATCGACGACTATAAAAACATATCAGAACATAATAGTTTTACTTACACCGACAACGAGAGAATCAGTGGTCTTCATCGTTACGTATTCTACAATCTTTGATATTATTAGTTTCATATATTCCTGTAGAATATTTTATTAAAATAATGTATTAAATATAACGTAAGTATTGCTAATTTTACCATAATATTTTACTAAAATACTGCCCATCAAAGTATTTTCTTCGTATATCTCATGAAATTTTAAATAGTAAGGTTTGATTATAGGAGTACCTGATTTGGGTATTACCTCAGCCATCGGTACTTTTATTTCATTTCATTAATATCTACATTAACTACTTAGCAAATACAAATGCTGTAACAAACACTACACAAATACCTTTTCCGTTTGAATTATCTGCAAATAAACAACGCGAACAATTCAGAATAATCCATTATTAAAAAAAAAAAATACCGAATATTGACCTTGAGCTTCATAAAATGTCCCATCTTCTCATATTATAACGCGTGCAAAACTACAGTAGTACTCTGTGTCTATTATCGAGGTATTTGTCTTACTTTTCTTCATTGGCAAAAATACAGAAGATATTCAGAGCTCGGTTCCACGGTTCTTTTTTCCAGGAGACAGACAGACGGATGGGGCTTTGAAGAATGAACGTCAAAGAAACGGATTTGCGCAGTAAAATCGAAGAAATGGAAGCCAACTCGTCTCGATGTTCGACGGGAGCTTTGAATTAACGATGGTCGCTAGTGGATCAAGAATAAATGTGCCAGCACGAGCTATCAGACGTACACAGAGCATGAAGAGGAGAAGACTCGATTGACTCCGTAGAAACGTTCGGTGCCAGTTTGGAGGATGGAGGAGTCCTCGCCAAGGATTCGTCCCTATCTGGATTGCTGGGACGTAAGTGAATTCTCATATGTTGCGAATTGATCCTCGAGCGTTTAATAATTTACTAATTGATCGTGCCACTGGCGAATGATTTCTGTAGCACAGACTCGGGGGAAAGTTTAGATTAGATTATTATAGCTATTAGTAGATCGTTAGATCTATTCGTTGGTTGCGTCATTCCTTCTTCGGGCACTTTAAGGTGACGTAAACGTTTCATGTAGTTGGTTGGTAATCAGAGTATCAATTTACTGTAATGTGTGACAGTGAATTAATTAATATCATCGCAATTTGTCGATAATGAGATCTCGTTTATTTTACGTATTTAGTTTTTTGGTCGCAGATATATACGACAAAAGTAAATTAATAGAGTCATGTAATTTAACTAAATAAAATATTCAAATTTTATAGAATTTTAAGGTTCTAAGGTTCTTAATTCCAAAGTTCGCGCGAAGGAAGCGATGTCTTCGTCCGATGCGATACCTAGCTACGATAATCAAGAAATTGTTAGTAATTAGACACAGAAATAATTATGACAGACACGTCCCTCGTATACCTGCTCGAGTCGCGAGATTCGCGCGTCGCTTGTTGACGAATAGAGAGGAAGGGTGAACAATAATCGCGTTGCGGTCGATTCGAGAATTCGTTGGATATTACAGAAAAATTACACACCCCACAATTGGTTCAACAAGTTTTGTTAATAATTAATTTAACTATTATCAAAACTCAATAAGATAGGCTCCCTCGAGCTGCCTCACCCTGTATAAATCCTTTGAATATGTCCTAGCCTATCAAGACATATATAAATGTCCTAAGTACATATTCCAAGTACGTATATACACGTCCTTCACGTACGAGATTCAACTTATCGAGCTGCATATAAACTTCCTCCGCGACCCATAGTCAAATTCTGAGACCCACGTAATACGTCCTTGATGTACCAGCGTCAACTTATTGGGCGGCATATGCGCGTCCTTGGTGACTAAGTGTTAATTTATCAGGACACGATTCGCCGATGAGGTTCGTAATATAGGTCAAAACGCTGTACACGGGAAATCCAATATATTCATTATAATAAATGGATACCGTCGCCGCGTGCACGCTCTGATTACCAGCTAACCACGCATAACGTTTACATAGTTACCCGCTCGAGCAAACAATTACACGTTTTTGACACTTTAAGGTGACCTTTCGAGAATGGAACGAGATACCGGGTGAATTTAGAGCACCGGCTTGAGATTTACTGGGAAAAGGGGTGTAAAAAACGTAGTCCCGACGGTAGCGGGGAAAGTAACTGTCAGGACGCTTTCGATTTAACTCGAATTATGGTAATTGCTCGGCCGCGCGCGCACCCGACAGGCACGAAGCTTTGCGCTCGAGCGATCGCTCAGCCAACCACTCTGATCCGATCCCCCGTTCTACGCAATACTTACACAAGCGTGTGAATTTCGTTACGCTCGTTTTTCAACCCCCTTCCCTTCAACCCTCTCGTTATGGCATCCGACCTTGCTGAAATGTTCGTAGGTCTTTTGGTACTTGGAAGGTTCAGGAAATTTATTATGTGTTATGTGCCCTAAGTTTCAAATTGCACAATGGTCTTTCGAACAAAATTTAAACAAATAAACGTCAGCTGACAAAACTGTTCAAATAATAAATACATTGATATTTTTTAAAATTTAATTTGGAGAATCAGTCTTCTAAGGGTTAAAGGAGGGTTTCGAATGATATTTCGAAAGTAAGTGACACAAAGAATAAACGAATAACAGGATTTCGTAAATAAGGGTCAAATTATAAGAACGTATATATACACGTCCATGTACGTGTACACACACCCAAATATGTACTTTTCTATCGAACATGTATACGACCTTTGTATCTGAGTGTTAAGTTATCAAGACGTGTATATATGTCCCTCATAAATAAGCTTGAAGTTATCAGGTCAACGTATATGTATGTACGGCCCTACAAGTGAAAGATTGAAATTGCCTTTCCTTGGAGGCACCTGGCAAGTTTACCGTTGAATTCCTCTTATGCTCGCTTCGTTCGAAGCACCTACGTTTTATTTTCATTTTAACGTCCTCTCCGGAGAGTTTAGAGACTCTGGCCCGACGTTTATGGTTTCCGGTAAAATAATATCATCGATTCGGCCGGGAAGTATAGGAAGCTCGTTGCCGGTTTTGCGAAACGCGATCGACAGTTAATTCAATCATTACTGCCACCGACGTGGTTTCTGGTTCGGATGATCGTACTTTGAGGCCAATTTTGAAATAGAATTAACAACGGAAGGGTTAATTATAATGTATAAAGGGTGCGTCATAAATAGACAGAATTTCTGATAATCTTAGTATCTAATAATGTATACAACATTATTTCAAAATGTATACAACAATGTAACTTGGTAAATATGGATTCGTAAATCGATAATTTCTAAACTAAAAAGAATTTTTTTTCGTCACGGTACGTGTATGCTATAGCTTTTATCAGTTTAAATAAACAATTTCATACGCAAACTCCATAACAGCTAGCGATATATTTATTTTTTTTTTTTGTTTTTGAAGTTGTGATCAATAAAGCTTTTAGTTTTCAGCATGTATACTACAATGTTTACATGTTTACTAACCGTTACTTATTTATTTTAACGAACGCCGTGAGTGTTTAACATTTATTCTACGAATTTATGGATACCCTTTTATAGTTTTGAAGAACGCAATCATTTTTAAATTTATTCATTATTTTAATTTTCATTTAACAAGTAGATCAGAATATAAAGTAGACATAAACGCACATGTGTAATGCATTTCTGGTACTGCACCGACAATGTCTATATTACCAATCGTTTATTCTTGTTTCCAAGTAGACAATCCAATTCTTCATATCGAATATACGGAAACGTCTCATGTGTCACAAAGCCATTCAATTCAAACTCATTGTCAATGCAATTTAAGTAGAGATCTCAAGTGAATCCAAAAGTCAAACTGATTGTCAGTAAAAGTCTTCCTGGAGTTAAGAAATAATTTATTATTTGAAATAGTTATTGTTTCGATAGTACAAATTGTCGACGTTCCGTTCTTCTTTTCCAAGCATTCTTTACTTGACCTCTACAGCTCGGATTCATATAAATTGACGTCCCTAACTCGAAACACAATCCACCGATTTCTAATGGTCTAGAGATCAATCTACTCTAATTTGTTTCCGTTTCCTAGACAATTGTACTGCGTTGTTCCACGTCTCTCCGTATTTTATCAGGTAACCAGAAAGCTAATGCTTTAAAACTAGCTTAAGCAAAATTTGTCTTTATTTCAAAGGGACCGCCTTGCCACAAATTTAGAAGCTACCCCAGTATACCAAGTATTCGATTGCATTACGTAGGTCTCGAGTTTTGATATTTGCACTGGCTTAGTTTCGAATACTCGTGATGATCAGTCGACAATACAATCGACGTGGTATTCCTGAAAGCTGGGGAGTTTCAAGGGAAATCGATGACGTGCGCTACCCCGAAGCCAGAATCCATCTCGAAAATGAAATTTGCCTGAATGGGTTCCTCGTGCTTTAATCGATTCGAGGAAACGAAATGTTCGCGAGCGCCCAAGGCAAACGCTTAACAAATCGCCAGAAATGTACGCGGCTACACGACCTTAATGTGAACGTCTATTACGACGGAGGGACAAAACAAACGGTCGCTGAATGCACCGTTGAAATCTTTCTGAATGTCCTTCTTCGTGAATTAATTCACCGCCGTGCTCGAGTTACAGTACCGCTTTTTATAATCGCGAAAGGAAACGCTCTGTTATTGATCTTTCGCCACTAACAAGGTTCATTCGACGAGATTTCGAAATCGTCACGTTCAGTGGCGTATTATTCTCTTGTGGAGAACAATATAAGCGAGGGGAAGGCTACAGACTAAAAAGAAAGAAATTAAATTCTGATTCGGACAATAAAACAAAAGGGACACAATGAATTCAGCTGCTCGGGAATAATACTCGTAGCTGGATTTTATTTTATAGGCTCTTTCGTAAGTTTATTTGCGCGTTGCTTGTTTTTAGGACGTGTGCGTATAAAGTGAGATATTTTTGAGAAAAGTGTCAAACGAGAGGAGCTTTATATTTTAAGATGTAATTTAATAATAATAATAGTTAAATTAGAATTTATAAATTTCTCTGAGCCTAATTTTCGAGGACTGATATATACGCTCTTCGCAATCAAAGGGTTAATGATCCATTCTGCAAAATTAATTAGTGGATGAGCGGGGGGAATGGAAATGTAATCGACGTAATTAGAATTTCCTGTGAAACGAAATCGACACATATGTCGCGTTGTTTCCGATATTGCGTGTAGTTTAATATTTGCATCACCAGTTTGTGATTTATCGTGACGCTGAACGTTCGTTGCAATTATTTCAAACGCGCCACGGCACACTGAACGTGTATCGTCGACTTCACGTTGCACTCGACGCGTGTATATCACAAAATATTTGGGAAATTGTCGACGAAGTCGATCGACGGAGGCAAAGACGACAGGGAAATTATTCGGTGCACGATAGATTGGAGCATTGAACCAATTTGTTTAGCTCTGATTTCCCAATGGTCATTAGCATTAGTAATTTCTCAGGAAACTTCGCAGACGCTGTACCGTTTGCTTCGTCGTGGCGTTGCATTATATCCCATTGCTGCGGAGATCGAATCACGGCCATTGGGAAGAGGAATGCTAAGGGAAATCGCGAAAGTTTCAAGTTTTTCTTTGACCTGGAACAGTGGTTCTCTATATACGAACAATTTTTTCATTGTTCAGAAAGCTTCTACTCCGTCCTTATTAAATACTCAAAGGGGTAAAATAGGAGGCTGTTGCACAGTTTAGGCTGCATTTTCGGAGAAGAATTGGATGACCTGATTTAATAATTATGAATAGAATAGAAGAAAATTATTTGATACAAATTTCGAAATTTCGAAAACCTCGATGTTCTTCATTAAATAATAAAGTGTGTGAATATACACGCTCCCAAACGTGACTCGTAATTCGTCGTTTCTCTACCATATTGACAAGAACGGATTGAAATAAAATGACTCGACGTTATATTGTTTTCAGCAGAACGAAGACAAGTACTCGGTGGCGAACAGCCAAGCGCCGTTGCAAGCTGGCGAGGACGAACACCCTGAGCGAGGCACATGGACGGGGAAATTCGACTTCCTGTTGTCCCTTCTGGGGTACAGCGTCGGGCTTGGCAATGTCTGGCGCTTTCCGTACCTCTGCTACTCGAACGGAGGGGGTGCTTTTCTGATACCGTTCTCGGTGATGCTCATTATCGCCGGATTGCCCCTCATGTTCATGGAGCTTTCCTTAGGTAAGATCCTTTAACTCATTCGTGAAATTAAAATTTAACACTAGACCTACCTCACAGGGAGCCATCACATGTGGTGCCTGTTATATCTTTTCTGGAATATTAACATTCTGACTGTGAATTAATATACTTCATACTTTAGTACATTATTATATTCAACAAATTTATTTGCTAATATTATGTCAAATTTTCAAGAATTGTAGATTAGAACGAAAATGTTAGATTAGAATATCGTCCCAAGAGAATTGCCCTTCAAAATTGATTGAATTGAGATTCTGCTAAAACCAGTTCGCCTTGAAAGGGTTATAGCACGAAGCTATTCCACAGAGTAGATATCGATTAACCTGGTAGAAGTCGAACACGTTAAAACTTTCCAAGCGAACAGACAATTCGTTCGGCAGAGAATCGAAAGATTTGATCAATCTTTACGTCGGTTCCCTTTTTCAATCTTCTCCTCGTAGTATCATCGTTTGATCCAAATATTGTGTTCCCACTTATACTCTTATGTACACTTGGTATATGTGAAGCTATTTACACGGATATTAAAAATGCTTTTAATTCCTCTTTAAGTAGAAGTCCAGTAATGATGAAGAATTCAAACACGACCTACTTCGATGTACTTTCAATTCCATGTTGAAAGTAAATTTCCAGTTATCTATAATTAAAAACGTTCGATGCTTACATACGATCGTGTTCGGATTGTGTTCCTTCCACTAAAAAGAAAAATACGCCCCCTCGATTACCAGGGTACGACAGAATATAAACAGACTCGCAATCGAAATGGACGGAAATAGACATCGGGCGTCGCAAGAGTAAGAATCGCAAACAGTTCTTATCAAGATTCCAAGGTCAAGTTTCTCCGCGACGTTGATTCACCGAAATAGAACGATCAATGAACGATCGTACCTCGCTACCGGGTTACGTAACGTTATTTTTAGGCGCCCCATTCGCGAAACCCCATTTGCGATATCGACTCCCAACACTCTACCCCCTATCCTAGCAATTCGATGTCCCGATGTCACGTAAATCGCAGGTGCATTACTACTAACCGACGCGATGGCTTATTGATCGTTTGTTTTTTCTTCTTTCTTCTTCACTTCTTCGAATATGTTCTTCACTTCAGGGCAGTACGCGAGCCTCGGCCCAGTGGCGGCTTACAAACGCTTCTGCCCCCTGCTAAGAGGCCTGGGATACGGAATGGTCCTGATCAGTTCCGTCGTGATGCTCTATTACAACCTGATCATCGCCTGGACGCTCTACTACATCTTCGTCTCTCTCTCCGGTGAGTTTCGCTATCTCGCGCGTCACGCTTGTTTTTCCCCGCTAGTTTTCCTACCCAGCGATGAAAATATGACATCAAACGGGAGGTATTGATCTCCGCGGAGCTGAAGTCGGTCCAGTTTGAGCTGGAAGCTTTCTGGGCTTCGCACCAGGCGATATACCTCTGGAAATGTGTAGTAGGTACTTTTCAGAGACACTTCGTCGCCTCGCCGAACGCAGTAGTTCTTAACCTTTTTAAACTCGTGGACAGGTTTCAGGTGATTCTTAATTTTCTTTTTTCCATGAACTGCTTGGGGAGAAAATAAGACACGGCTCTGAAGTATTAAGTATTAATGTCTATGGTAATTATTTTAGAAGCTGTATAAAATTAAAATTCCATTGTTTCGGATGTCTTTAAATTTCATCACTTTAAATTTCATCATTTATATTTGATGTACCAACATATTCGTACTATAGAGTCGTATAAAATCGTAATACAACAGAAACTGATACGCAAAACGCAAACATCACTCAATGTTGCTCTTTTTCCGCAATACAACCGACAGCAATTGATAACTCAATTTCCTCCGCGAGAGTCGTCTGTCATGCTCACTCTCGATCGACTGTTTTCCTAAACCTAAACTGTCATCCATGCTTCGCAAACATTCTCTGTATTATTGTTACAACGGAATATATTAATACGCTACGAACGGGTCACGTGAATTAAAGTAATTATTTATTAAAAGGCTTGCATTACAGATTGGAGTCGCGTGCTCTTCATTTATTCATTTCTTTGTTTTATTCATGAATTTTTGTTCCATGGGTATTGCATATTTCATTTTAGTTTATTTATGTGGAATAAAAACATAGAAATAAATTTAATTTAACTTCTGTAATCTATATATATACATATATAAATATTTCGTATAAATCATAGAACAACCTCATTTTTTAATTTGCCATAAAACTCTAATTAGAATTAATTAAATTGCTATTAAAGTTTATTTAAAACAGAAACCAGCACAATAAATGTTTCACGTTTAATTGTAGTGCTCCTGCGTTCTCCAACCTAAAGTAAACGAAATAATTAAATCGCAATATACGATCAAAGTTTGAAGTGAATATTGTCGTGGGTTTCTGCGATACAGAAAATTATGCAAATTAATACAAATAGAGTACCTGACCATAGATTGTGCGCTTAAGAGTTTTCGCAACATTGTAGATATAGGGCAGATCATGCAATTGAATTTAAGGGGGTTAATGGCTGCGCTAGTATTGGCTGTTTCCTTGAAGCAATACTATTTTCAGTTCCATGGAAGTGATTGATGCACAGAAACAAAAGTAGACCACATCAAAAATTTAACAATATTATATCATTAAAGAATTGATGTACCAACTTCGTAGAATTCGCATTAAGAGTCATTCTTTTTATTTATTTATTCGTTTACGTAGTACAGACTCTTTAGTACAGCTTCATTATTTTTAATACGTATCGATGGTTTCTGATGGAGAATATTTGATTAGAAATGGATATTTTCTGTGGTGCAATATTACGTATAGAAGCGAATATTGTCTCTGATGGAAAGTAATTTATACAAATTAATATTGTCTCTGGTAGGAGGTAATTAATAGAAACAAGCATTGTTTCGAATGGAAAAAAGCTTATACAAGTGAATATTGCCTCGGTGAAAAATAATTTATAAAAGTGAATGTTGTGTCTAATGAAAAGTAATTTATAAAGATGAATATTGTCTTTGATGAAGAATAATTTATAAAACTGAATACTGTTTGGAGGAAAGTAGTTTCCAGAAGTGAACGTTAATAACCAAGGGAAAATTAAGTGTTTCCTACTTCTTATTCCTTAACGGAGACAGTGATCACAAACTTCAATCAGGAAGTCGCACCGCACCCTACTTACTTGAAATTGCTCCAAGAAAATCTACGGTATATATATATATATATATATTACTTTACTTGATTCGAACTTTATCAAACGGAAGGGATTTTGAAATGAATGTGTCCAAGAAGGACTCGCAATCTTCTGCGTTGAAACTAGTATCGTTTTATCCGAATCAAATCAAAGATTAAAGTAATAAATAAAGATTAAACAACGCTATTATCTTCAGAGTTCTGGAAGATAAAATATAAAATTATATTGATAACACAACAGACAAATAAAATTAAAATATTTACATGCAGCTTCTTTTTCAATATTAAATTAAATATTCATTCCTAACAATGACAAAACATTTTACATAATGTTGAAGAATGTATGCAATAGCGATTAGAGAATCCAGTGTAACCTTTTTTCTCTTTGATAAATATTTCCAAGAATGCCTCCCACTTTACGAGCTGTTTCGATATGTCAAAGAAGGTCTTGGAACGACCTACTGGTATTTCTTTTGTAACAAAGAAAATGTCTTTATCGACGTAGGAGCTGGTAAACTGCCATGGAGCAAGTGCGAGCCACCATGGAGCACCGACGATTGTTTCATGCCAGAAGCTGCCGAAGCGTGCGTCACTCAAAACATGACTTATTTCAAAAGGAAATGCTTGAATTCTACCCAAATGGCCTCCATAGGTCTGACTATGGAAAATATCACTAGTGCCATTAGGAAACCACCGGCTGAGGAATATTTCAAGTAAGAATAATATATATAAACCGACATCTATTAGACCTAACATAAGAGTTACTTAATATAAATTAGCGACTCTTCGACGCGAGCCATTTTTAGACCAACTATCACTGCAATTAAAATATCAATTTTTAACGTACAAGTATAAATACATATTGAAGATTGTGATTAAAAATTAGAAAAGTTCCTCAAAGTTAACCCTTTAATAAATTGAATTAACTTGAGAAGCGTTCCTATAAATAAACCAAGTTACATACAATTTTGCTTTGGATCTTCCATGAAGTTCGAATTCTCAACAAGTGGGACAAACTTCCCCTCCACAGTTGTCTTCTCTGCTTATTTTATTTCCTAGCTTCTCATCGATTTCAATTTAATTGGAAACGAAAGTTTCGTCGTTAGGGGAACAAAGGTTATTCTCTCAGAAAATTTTTAATTACCAATCATTATTTAAGCGTTTGTAGAAACTTTTGTCAGGAGAATTTAAAGGATACAGTGTAGCTTAATTGAAATTATGTTTGTTTCAGTAATCACGTCTTGGGAATGAGTAGCGGGATCGAGGAGACGGGATCTGTTCGACCCTGGATGGCGATAAACCTTCTGTTAGCTTGGATCATCGTCTTCCTCTGTCTGAGCAAAGGTGTTCAAAGCTCTGGGAAAGTTGTGTACTTCACTGCTCTCTTCCCTTATGTTGTTCTGGTATGTAGTATTTTTTTTTTTTAAATTTTTGGTTTTAAGAATTTTGTAGATATAGTAAAAATTAGAGAATTTATATGAGCTAATTGAAATTATAAACTTCTATATATTCTAAACACACACAATATTAATATGACGCTATCAACAATTTTTACAAACTTCTTTAAATCGTATTAGAAAAGAATTAGGACTCGGTAAAAGAGCCCCTTCGATTATTTTGTTCTACCCGTTTACAGCCCTCGAGAAATAGTGGAAACTGCTCCTTTTGTTCTCAGATCGCTCTTTTCATTCGCGGCATTCAGCTTCCCGGTGCCAGCGAGGGCATTATCTATTATCTAACGCCCGATTGGAGAAGACTAATGTCCGCGAAAGTGTGGAGCGACGCCGCGGTGCAGATCTTCTTCGCCCTGAGCCCAGCCTGGGGCGGTCTGATAACTCTCAGCTCCTACAACAAGTTCAACAACGATTGCTACAAGGACTCGGTGATCGTCGCCATCAGCAACATCGGCACGTCCTTTTTCGCTGGTTTCGTGATATTCTCGGTGATTGGTTTCCTGGCCCACGAGCTCGACGTCCCTGTCGCCTCTGTCGTCGACCAAGGTGTTGGGTTAGCGTTCATCGTCTACCCTGAAGTGAGTTTCCATCTCAAACTTGTTATCATTAAGTTTCTTTGGTAAAATATTTTGTATTTGCATAAAAGATAGCTCCTTTAAGAAGGAATTTGTTTAAAAAAAAAATATAGGTAGTCGCACGTCTATCGGTTGCACCTGTCTGGTCGCTGCTCTTCTTCGTGATGCTTCTTACCTTGGGTCTCGACTCGCAATTCGCCTTGATGGAGACAGTTACCACGGCCATACTCGACGCATTTCCGTCATTAAGACACTATAAAACGTGGGTTGTCCTGGCTGTATCTGTTTTTGGTTACGGTGGTGGCATAGTCTTCACTACTAACGTAAGTATTCTCCAAGTTTTTTCATAGTCTTAACAAATTATAAAAAAATTATATCATCCAATATTACGAAGCAAATGAGTTAAAATTCTTGACATTTTGATACTTTAACTCAATCTCAATCAAATTTATGTTGATGTAATAATGATTCGTCAAATTTCTCCGCTATATTTCCAGGCTGGAGTGTATTGGCTACAACTAATGGACAAGTACGCAGCCAATTGGTCAGTGTTACTGATCGCCATAGGCGAGTGTATTCTGGTCGGTTGGATCTATGGCGCGCATCGATTTCTCGACGATGTTCAGCTGATGATAGGCCCACAGAGTCGCCTCTGGAGGTTTTTCTGGACCTGGATGTGGAGGATCGTCACCCCAGCGACCCTGTTCTTCATTCTTTTCTTCAATTGGATCGAGTACCAGCCTCTCACCTACGGTGGCTACGTTTACCCCACATGGGCGAACGCCGTTGGATGGATTATCGGCATGATACCCGTTCTGGTCATCGTTGGCATGACTCTCGTACGTAATTAACGTTTCATCAACAATTTCACGGAATAACGAGGCGCGCTGGGCGATTTTATCATTCATACCCAATCAAATTATTCGATAAACAGAATTCCATAGTCGTGACGAGCAAAGCTAATTTGTCATAAACAAACTGCGGACGTTTATGCATTTATGCAAAAATATGTAAAATACATGTTACATTGTTTAGAAAATAAGGCAGATTTTTATCTGCATCTGTGAAAATATGAATTTGCATAAACGTTTGCATGATCATAGGTGTTATTGGTGAATTCGTTCGTCACTTTGATAGAACACTGGTTACAAAATATTGACATACATATACAAATTCGTGATGGAACGTGTGGGACAAGAAGAGATACATATTTCAAATTGAATAAAAAGTATAAATTTACGATGAAGAATTGATTTAGTAATATCAAAACTATTATTTAATGTTTGACAGACTCAGCTGAGAGACCGTCGTCGACGATCCGCCTACGACGACGACGACGACGACGACGACGACGACCTGGACAACAGGCCGTCCTATCAGAGACACGGTAAAGGTAGAACGAAGAAGAGCAAGGGCAGGAGCGTATGGTGTCGCGCCAAGATGCTTCTGCAGCCAACACCCGATTGGGGCCCCGCCACCAGAAATCCATCGACCCCGTCGAGGACCCTCACTCACACCCCGTCGCCAGGTAATCAGAAACTTAATTAAACTCCCCTCGTGTTGCATCTAAACGCCATCATCCGATAGAATGTGTATTTCAATAATAAACATGTCGTGGTTGAAGCTTACGCGCCCGCGCAATCACCAGCCCATCAGCCTCCGTTGTAATCGGATTTATGCCGCCCGTCGACATAAATAGATAATTAAAGATAATTAATCTGGGTAGGTGCAGTCTGTCGCACAAAAGCTTCTACGTCACGTGGATAAAATACGTAGGGCACGGAAGGGCGAAGACTATAAAACCAAGAACGGCTTCGATATTTTTTTTTTGTTTTTACTAATGATATTATTCAGAAAGATTATGAAAATAATTTTGTGATGAAGTTTGTACAATTTTTGTGAACTTGAAATGTATTTTTCTGAAAACATAATTTCAAGATAAAACACTTTTGTCGAACAACAGTGCCACGACTATCTCATGCAACTGAAAATTTCATATTGTTTTTTAACGTAAAGTGGTCGACGATAAGTGAATATTTGGATGCCTGAGTTCGAATGAGCTCTATGTTTACTATTTTTTTTTTTGTTTTCATTTAAACACATCAAGAGCTCAAAACGAGTCAATCTATTTTATCGACCATTTTCGTGCCACAACCCTGAGCTCCAAGAAGTGGTAGGGTCAAGTACGCGTCTCTTAGCGAATTACCGCGCCACTCGGAGATAATTCGTCGCGTTTACTATCGCACAGAATATTCCGAGATGTTTTTCTTTCTTCGTCTAACAAGACTCTTTTAAGTAAGTCTATATAAAATGTCCACAGGAGCGAAAGGGCTTCCCAAGTACACTACTAATACCATTTATGACTTACCGTCTTAGCTTCTCGTTACGTTTACGAGGGACGCCGTATTTGTTCCATTAAGTAGAGGATTTGTGCGATGGACTATAATATATCGAGATGGGCACCCGTTATATTGCAGAGTGACGTCAGGAGCGCGCGAAATCTCGAGCAGGTGCGACGAGAACGTGTTTTTCTTTTATTAACGGGATCGTCAGGTCCGTGTTGGGGTCTCCGCCTACGCGTGTGCCAGCATAATCGATAGCGGGTTGTGTCCGGGTCGACTACTTACGCAAAGATGGGTAGCATCATAGCATGCTTATCCAGATAGCAATTTCCAATAAGATAATTAGATAATTAAATTAAATATAAATAACTTTCAATTCGTTGCTTGTTAAATGATAATTAGAATTTTAATTGCGCGCTACTCGGGCGCTGTGATTGGTCGGTGATTTTTCGTTAATAATTCAAAAACGAAGCACCATCCGACATTTTTGCAAAGGAAATTGTGATTCGGAATCGTCTCAGCTACCTTCCATTTCCGACTCTTGCACTAATTCTGGGACACCATGTATAAATTATTTTGCTCTGTTACTGTTACATCAACTTCCAAGCAGAGAGCTCCAAAATATCCGAGTCGAAAAAGAATCTTTCGTGACAACACAATATTCAACAAAATTCCACTTTTCCACTTTAACGTAGTTTAATAAATGTGTGACGCAGGGCAACCAGCAGGATACGACTCGGTGCGAGACACCATAGTCCTGGTGAACGGTCAGCCGATGATGTTGCAGCCTTCGAGCTCGACTGGCACCTCTCAGAAGCTGCCTGGACCATCGATCCTCAAGAACTCTAGTAAAACCGACTTGATCACGTCTCAACAAGTCTGACATGATGTTCATTTTACCTCTGATGAGAAGTCTGCTGAAGAATCTGTCGCCACAAACACAACACGCCAGTAAAAGGTAGTTGCGTATCGCGGATAGGCTCGCAAACGATCCACGGATCGATGGCGAATTCAAGGAAGGACGAAAAGATAGAAGAAGAATTTATAAGGAGACTATTTTCTTTTATATATAAACCTAACGCAATCCTAGTATCTTCTATTATACATTTCATTTTTTATTTCTTTTAAAACAAGTTGAAAGTGTTTTATCCCCGTTTCCAGAGATACCAACTTCACTGAACCGAATCGAAAGTGTCCAAGCCTTCTTTGATGAACTTTCAGAGATTTTATAGTTTATTTTAGAATTCATAGTTCGACACGCCTTATTATTCAGTGAAGGTGAACCGACGAACGTTGATTTAGCACCGAAACGGTTACGGCTAATTAAAAGAGTTTATTTAATTGCCAGTATTCCTAAGCGCGAATCGCAATTGAATCTTCGACATCGTGATTCGACTGTTGCAAGCGTTTAGGTCCGTCGCACGATCGACCTGCAAATTGACGAGGAGACGAAGAACCTGTGAAACGCTCCGTACACGCTACGATGTGAACATTATTTATTGTAAACAATTACGCTACTCCACTGCTTTCGATTGTACATAAGAAAACGTAAGAAATTAACCATTGTGTACGTGCTCTAGAAAAGAAAATTATGGTATCTATCGTTTCACGTGAGCGACACGCAAAGTTAGAACGAATAATGCCGTTTATCCGGATTAAATTGACGCACCTCTAAAGTGGGGTGTAATATCACTGGACGATTAATTGCTCCACGTGGGAGATTTAACCATGGTAATGTTATTACAGGCTTTCATGGCTTACTTCAGGGTTGGTATTAACAGAAGCTTGTTGGTACAAATCGTGTCTTTTGGATAAGATCATCGACGTTTATTCAGCAATGCAGATGGCTTCTTCAAGGGTCAAATGACACACTGATGAAAAATTTGAGTTTTTGACTTGATTCTTCAGAGTTGACATTAACAGAAGCTTGTGGATGTAAGACTTCGGATACCCTTAGTTTCGTGAGCATTGCAGCTGGCTTCTTCAAGGGTGAAAAAATGCACAGAGTTGGATTAGGTGTAGATTAAGTTTGAGTTTTGTCCGAAATATCACTGAAATATCATTATTTCATTTGACGTCTTAAGAAGCTAGTAACACTGAAGAAACATCAAACAGTCTTAACCAAATGACACGATTTACACTTAAAAGCCCCATTATCAATCATGGTAATGTTGCTTGCATAGCGACAGGTTTAGACATTCGACGTAGGCAGTTCGAAAACATCAAGTTGAATTTCCTTACATCAAGTGTCAGGGCACTTTATCGCAAAAGGTTCATTGCTGCAAAGTCATTCAGACGTTAAAGGAGCCGTAAGTTTTATAAATTTGTAGCTTCGTGATCGCTGAGCATTTTTCCATGTTGACTCGCGAAATGCTTCGCACGAGAATTGTTATCGTTTTGGAGAGAATTCCAACGGTGCTGAAACGAGTGGTTCCAGAAGAATTGGCAGATGGTTTGCGGTGCAAAGATTGTTTAATTAGTTTAAATTTTTACATTCATTACTTCATTACTTCAGGACACCAGGATATCTATTCTGATTATTGCAACGATACAACGTTGGTATCAGTGTCACTAGACGCTGTATCGTTAGCAACTTTGAGAGATTTAAGCTGGGTGACATATGACTGATGACACGTGGGATTTTTTAACAATTATACAAGGTAGAGGCACCAGTAGTTGACACATTATGTATACAAAACGTATACCATTTAAATATTAAAGTCGAAATATGTAAAATAAATCAAGAAAAGGATGCTTTTACGGATCGAAGTATTGCTATTTAATCCTCTGAAACGCTTAATAATAAAGCGACGTGTGAAAAAAACCGAATTTGTATCCCCTACCAAACATAAATAACAACTTATCTCGAGTTATGGAGCGAACAAAAAAGTTGATGCATACGCCAATGAAAATCCCAGAAATGCTGGTATAGACGCCAATGAATGTTTTGGTCGCTTCCAGGAGTTCCAGGAAAAAGTACCGCTCCTTTCTTAGAAATTCACGAACGCATTTCTTGGAATTTCAGGAGGCTGCTCGGTGCACCCCTCACTCTTTAAAGTCTATCGCTTCAGAAACTTTAAACAGCGATAACTCAGAGTAGAATCGTCGGATCTCTTTCAAAGAAAATTCAAATTGAAGGGCGCAATTTCTGCTATCTGATAAATGTTTATCATCAACGTTACATATTTTTAAACACTTGTTTTGTTTATTGCTGTACTGAACGCGAAATATAAGTATGATTAAGTAAAATAACACTCGTTCGGGAATTTTAATTATTAATTTTAATTAACACTAAGATAACATCGCTTCAAGAAGATTTTAATAGTCAATTACTGGTGCTTCTACTTTACACACTCCACATACTCATGACACGTATCTGTTAGTATTAATAACCCAAAGTGTATCCTAGTAATTCTTCAGATACAATCGATCCTCGAACCTGTACTTCTCCATATCTTCACATTAGCTCAGCGTTGAGCTTCACTTTGGGTGGTTTCGCCTAAATCCACGTTTCCACGTGCCCAATACGCACATTCGAATCATTTATATTTCGTTAGTAAACGAGGCAATCTGTAAAAGTTTCTCTTGACTCCAGCTGAACGTTGGATGGAATTGCCTAAAGACACATTCCCACTTGTGCGACGCGTGCATTTGAATTATTTGTGGTAGTGGCTGTAAAAATCGTTGTAGCTACACTAGAGTGTTTCATTAGAATAAATGATGTTTTCTTGAATGTAAATTAAGTCTTTATCGGTAACATAGATGGTTACTGCTCGTACGAGAGTTAAATCAAGAAGATTGGTATTTTTAAGGTGGTACAATTTCTATGATAACAACTATATACTGATTTTCACCAGTAAGTAATGTGTTCTGCAAAAGTTTGCTCAGATTTGAGCCGAACTTCGAGCTGAGCCACCTAAAGCTACATTCCCATGTTTGCAACGTGTGCATTATAATTATTTACGTTACAAAGAAAAGCTAATGTTTATTTCTTTATCTCTCATTCTTTACTCAAATTTTGCTCATTCGTATACTCAGAAGATTTTTAAATAAATAACCAAGGATTAGATCAGCTCTATCTTAATTTTTCATAGAAAATTGCAAAAAGTGGGAAAATTTCATTTAGGGAATCCACGTGAACGCTCAAGCGAGAATGTGACTTTAGGTGGTTCGATTAGGGGCTCGAGGCAAGTTCAGATCGAACCTTTCACGTTGTACCCAACAATTATCACTCATAGTTTTATAAATTCACTCATCGATACGCAGTATCCTTTATTTCTCGACACAGTTCCACTTATGCGAAGGAATTTACATGGGAAATTAAACGAAGTGGACGAAAGTATGGTCGAGGGAGGAAAGAGAAGACGCCAGGCGTAGACAGTACATAGCATGTTCCTAAAACGGAGTAATTAGTGTTATCGTCATTCCTACATTGCCTCATCGGTGTCCTCCAACAGAGAAATGGCAACAATCGTCAGTCGACGCGAATAGATTATTTTTGTCAAGCTGGTCGTCGCGATTGTTGCTTTATTTTTGGCTGATGTTTTAACTCTTTAACCGACGGTCACCCAATCCATTGGTAATACTCTCGCAAACTATTATATATTCAGAAGCATACACATATTTATCTTCACGTCTGCCATAATCAAAGGCAAACAAACAGCAGTGGAAATAATTTATATCTCTGTATCAAAGGACCGCTGTATAAAATTCTTTTGTTGCTCTAAAATTGGCGTTTCCCCCTTAAAGCCTAAAATATTGTCTTACGAATTAGAAATAATTTATATCTCTGTATCAAAGGGTTGCCGTATAAAATTCTTTCGATACTCTAAAATTGGCGTTTCCCCTTAAAGTCTAAAATATTTTCTCACGAATTAGGGTGACCGTCGAGAGTTTACATGTACGCGCGCCTCCGATTACTATTATTTGCCGGCTGTCAGGAATTTCAGGGAAATAGACTAAGTAGCCGATACGTTCACGCACGAAGACTGCATGCCACCGTAAAAGGGGATATTTTTGCGTCGATCACGCACAGGGGAAGGTAGGGGGGTGTTGAAAAAAGAAGAAGGGGTGTCGTTTCACGGGTCAGCGGGAAAACGTTTCGGATCGTTCCCGACCCAACATAGGAAATATAAATAAACAAGAAATATAATTAAGTCGGCGATGTCGAAATGCCAGACAATTACGCGTACGTACAGTCAATAACGTGAAAGATCGTGATTCTTTATTTTTTATGTGACCCCATTTGTAAAGTGTTGCTAGCTGTATCGTATGTATAACATTTATCGTACTTCGTATATATACATATACATGTACACACGTTACAGATATACATATAGTATATATATATACATATGACATATACAATATAATATATATTATAAATAATATATTTATAGACGCTTGTACACTGGTGTACGCGTCCTATAGTTTATTACGTGTACAAAAGAAGCATAAAACGACACGATCATCGTTGGATATAAGAAGCTGAGGGCGAGACAAACCAATGAGAATACAACAAGAGAATATAAACAATTAACATTTACCGAACCTGTTGCGTTCAAATGAAGTAAAAACGAAAAACAGGAAACTAAATATGTTAACTCATATCCGTGAGTGTGCGAAAGTAATATGTTGCGTGATACGATGCGTTTTTTGTGAGCAAATGATGAAAGTGTGTACGGTGCGAGCGTATACGTATATTTTTTAGCGTAAAACGGGCCTAACTCCACTTTTCGTCCTCTCAACGATCCGCGCGCCGTTGGATGGTTGCTTAGAATTTTGAAAAAAGACTTGTTTCCTTCTCTTCGATCCTGGTTATTGTAATTTTTAATTTGTACACTTTACTTCCTTGGTCAAAATTAAAGTAAGTCAGCTAAGTAAGTAAGTAAGTTACTTTCGCAATTGTTCGCGCAAGTTATTTTATTATTTAAAAATATCTTTGTGCGTTAAATGTTACGCAGAATGTTTTAAAATATATAACACCAATGCAAAAGCAGGTAATTCATTTTGAAAAAGAATTACTATAAGAAAAAATACAATTCATTTTACACGAAACTATGTTCTCAAGATAATCGATTTTAAAAATATTGCGAGAGGTAGCGCGTACTTTAGTAAGGAACTTATGAAACCCAGATGAATTTAGTTAGTAATGAATTAGTTTAATAACGATAAGTGTTCGAATAGTTCTTCCCTACGGTTACCAAGTGTCATCAGTATTTTTGCTAGGAAAACAATTTTTTTAATTAGAACTCGCTACTTCTGTACACTGAAATTAACCCAGTTATGGCTGATATATATAGAAGTGTGTTAAAAATGTTAAAAATGTGTGTTGAATAAAAATTTTAAATATGTCGTTGTTCTGTTTTGATATTAGATATGTTAGGCTAACGTCTTTCTAGAAGGAAGGCACGTTTTAGGTATCCTGTTACACCTAATCTACTCGTGGTAAAATGTTTCAAAGAAAAAAGTAAAAAAATTGCAGCCTTACCTGGGTTAAGCAACAACGCGAACTCGAAATTGTTTCATTTAATTACCTCAAGAACGAAGGTTCGTGCAAACAATTTTAATCTACACTTCTCAGAGGATCACCTCTTTGTAAATTGTGCTATATATTTTAGGACACTCTGTGCATGGAAACCGTCACGGTTTAGTTTGAGTAAATGTTGCGTTACGGGTTTCGTCCAATTTGCAAACAATCGAGGTGGACGTTAGGAGTAAGTAATCGGCCCTTACGTTTAGATGTAAGTAATCCTCCCCTTGCCATCAATCCTTTGCTCAAAAGGACGAACTAGTGGAGGAGGATCCTCGCCATTCGCGCCCAAGACGGATCCTCGTTGACCTAATTAACGTTTTAGAATCTAGTCGTTGTTGATACTCAGAGCTTCAAAGAATAGGCAAATCATTCGACAGAACGATAACTCGAATCCCAAGATAGGAATTCGTTTCCAATCGAGCCACGCATCTCGAGGACAATGAAAGTTTACCCAGTCGATTCACTTCGAGACACCAAACATTCTCCAATCGATCTTCCACTGACATGATTAATATAAGAGTCTAACATTTCGGGAAAATATTAAACGTAAGAAGGTCGTCTTTATTTTGTTACGCAATATCATTAGGTCGTTTGGATTTGTGTATTATCGGATCGTTTGCTGTTAGGTTTCTATTTTGTAATTGTAGAAGGAACAGTCCACCAGACTGGATAAATGGATCATGATATAATATGACTACGAAGATCGTAAGAAAAATTTGCATTCTAAATATTTTTGTACATAGTTATTAGTATCGTAATTTATCCTTGAATTTATTCCATCAATTTCTTTTATTTTCTAAATAACTTAAAATTAGACACTAAACAAATATACACAAAATTACTAGACGCGTTTCTAATTAGCCATATCCAAGCCATGATCAAATTCCTTTATTGATACATTGATACAAACGAATTCTCTTCGGCGATTGCTGATGAACAAACTTGGGATTCGCGATGAAAGTGTGACTGATAGATAAGCATTCCAGAAAACTTAATTGTCCTTAGGCTAGGTAGGCGAATCTGATGCTGGTTTAAAAGGAATTTAAAGAAAAAAAATCAAACTAGCTCGTCATTAACAACAAACAACAATAATAATAATACATATTAATTATAAAAGTTATGTTACAAGTAAATAATAATAATAACAATAATAATAATAATAATAATAATAATAATAATAATAATAGCGTTAGCAGCCGGGGTTTAAGCCGGCTAGGCCGCGTGGTCGACTGTCCTAGGTAGGGTTAAGATTCCAGTGACGTAGAATTATCAGTAACAACACGGTAACATTGCCAGTAACAATAACAAAAAGAGAAACAAACACCACCAGGTGTCGATTACTATTTTAATGTAACTTTGGTTGAGCAGTTTAGCTGTGTCCATTTATGCGAGAGTGAGGATTGTGCCTGGCGTTCAAACGACCTTGAACGTCAAATTCTTGCCTATAAACCCATAGTTTCACTTCGATATTGTAGACGAATGAAATTGTCCAAATTTTTCCTTGGGAAATTTTCAATAAATCCATTTCACTATTTTAGCAAAGAAATAAAAATAGAAATAACCAGAGCTTGCTCTAATTACTTACATCTAACATCGGATCGTAGGGGTTTAATGGTTTTCGCGGCACTAGGTAACGCGTTTTAATTTTTATATAGCTGAAACAATTTGTCGATGGTCTACTGAACATACATCATTTTTGCTGAATTTTATTTCATGTTTTCGATGACCTCTAATTAATCAAAATAAATCAGAATTTAATTTTGTGGGTCGTGGTAAATCTTTTCATTCATTTGAATTTAATGTTAACAAGAATGACCTAGAATCAAATATATGAGAAATGTAAATAAAAGGAAAGAAAGATAGTAGCATAAAGGTAGAATAGCAGCGTAAAAGTCAATTGTAGTAAAATTGATAACATTAATAATATTGAGGAATTCAAAGTTGGTCGTAAAATAAACTTTACGTTTTAATAGACGCTTTAATAAATATTCTTGTATTAATTAGAAGTAACAGAGACCCTCGACAAATTGTCTAGCATTGAAAAATTACAATTTATCGTAGCTAAACCGAAAGTATCACTTAGGTTGTTTCGTGTTACTGCTACAGAAGCACACAGGCGATCGTCGTAAAATATTCGTTCGGGGATCTCGATTTACCGAACGGATTTATGGTTACCGGGTTATGTTACGGACTTTACGTCACTAAGAGCAACCAGTAGAGCGAACAGTACAAAATAACGTGTCCTAGAGCCAATCGAGAAAGAGGAAAGCGTTCAAGAGCGAGATACACAGATGTGTTTAAGGAGTCTTCTCGTTTTTGTGCCCAAAAAATTAACTCATATTTGCTTATTTTTTATAGAGAATGTACGAGTTGGATTGTCCTCAAATTTGGCACGTGGGTTCGTTAATCACTTATCAAGATTTTCGAATTTTTGGACTAAAAAAAAAACGAACATTGACAAAGTGACGACACTTGAAAAAAAAGTCTTATTTTTATCAGCATTCTTTGATTTTTCTGAACCGTGAAAAGATGTAATAGTTTTTTAATTTTAATTAGGATTGGTACACTCAAAATGGAGTTTTCTTTAATTAAATTGAGTTGTTTTAATGTTAGCAATTTTACAAATTTTTGGAACATCTAAACCGAGAAGACCTCTTGTGTTTCGTGAAAGCGATTATATTAGTTATTCCTTCTCGTTAAGGCAGATTTTTGTACGTCGTCGGACGGTCGAAAGAACGATAACAAACCGCAAAGTAAAATTCCTGATCAAATGTTCAAACGAAAGAAAAAAGGGAACCGTTCGTTTGTGTTTGCGATCGTACTTTCGCGCGATCTATCGTGTCTCTCGATTTCCTCTCTGATTTTTATTTATTATTACATTATTTATAGGAGTATTTGCCAACGAAAATATGGTTGAAAGGTATACGAAACTGTATACTCGAATATGTTTCTTTAACCAACCGTCGATTTTATTTGTATATGAATGGTAATTAAGGGCTACCTAACATCAAATTAATACTGATTCAATTTATCTTCAATTAAAACGAGAGGCACTATTAGAACGTGACGAATGATATACAATCAAAATACAAGAAAATGTTATTATTCAACACACGAGGGTAAATCCATAGACATATAACAATATGTCTGTGACATATTTTCTAGAAGAAGAAAAGTTCTAGAAGCATGTTCCAACATTCGAAATTAATTTTAATGAACATGAAATAAAAAAAATCATCGTGAATGTATACAAAAAAGAATAAAGTTAATTATAGCTCAAGCACAGTTCACTCCACATTAATTACAAATGATTTGTAAACTGTGAGAAGAAAGTTACTTCAAATTTTTCGAGTTGCAAATCAGATTGCAAGCTTCCCAATGATTAATTACAAACAGATTATGTTCACTGTTTGATTCGCCCTCGTGCGTAAGGTTAAGGGTAGTCAGCAGGGAGTTAAGGAGACGAACGAGAATACTGAAATTATATATTGTATCTATATTGATCAAACACGTATATATATGGAGGCATAGATATGTATATATGTATGTATATAAAAAAGAGAAGTATATACATATGTATACACGTTGTTGCATAATGTTAGCGACGCTCCCCACGCATAGAAAAATGGGGGAGAAAGTTTTACGCGTGACGAGTTCAATTCGAAATGTTTATCGTGCGTTGACAATTTGCGAACAAGTAAAAAGAGGTTTAACAAAACAAATAAGACGATATTCGAAGGACGATGAGTATATATATATATAATATCGGAAATTAAGAAATTGTATTAATATACATGTACATTGCATTGAGGAAGATATATACATTATGTAAATTCTATGTAAATGTATATGATGCGTGTGTAATTAATAAAGTGTTGATATATATGGTTGACGATACGTCTCCGTCTGTTTCGTTTCCTCCTGGTTCTATGATTGTTTGCCTTAACGTTAGATCGAATTAAATTAATAGTAAACTCTAGTCTATCCTTCTTTTTTGGTAAATATTTCTTATAAATACCAGTCGATTAAATTTACGAACGGTTCTCCCTCGTTAGAGATTTTAGAAGCGTTTTTTTTTTTTGTGCATTTCGTTGCAGCATTTGGATTGAGACTTCTGGGTTACATTAACACTTTGCCATCTGGATACTTTTCGTAAACTTTTGACGATCGTATGACTTGATTTAAACTTCTATAACTTTTGATTGTAGTTGATTCAAGCTTGAAAGAGTGTAAAGAGTTCATAGGACCTCAAGTGATCTCCAATATGTACGTCTATTAAAAATGAACTCTTATCTACTACTCGTCAATATTATCTCTGATTTTTACTTTATCTCGCATGCAGTTAGTGTAAACACGTTTGCGTACGTTTACCAGCTCAAAGAGGAATATCTCTCCGTCTGGTTGGCAACCTGTTAATTGTTCGATGAACACAACAATGGTAAAATAAACAGGCACGATTTGGAGTACAATCATGCGCATCTATCATCGTCAATTATTTGATGAAGTTTCTTATTAATTCATTCTATTTCACGCCTCTGTGATGTATGCTAGTACGAATATTTCACAAAACAATACAATAACATTAATAATATATCATTTCGCATTACCGTATACATTCTCTTCTTCGCATTTGCATACGCCGTAAAAGCATACGATCTATAGTCTACTTAACATTCATTATTTCTTTAGATTGGCTCAGGTTTCGTAAAAGGTATATCTTAAAAAATATTGTCGAATTTTTAACTAACCAAGCAGTGCACAGATGTTTTAAAACTTTGAGAACAAAGTCTTTGTTCCTCTTAGAAATTGTTCATCAACTACTCGTAGCTGTCATGCGTGTAAGTGTTGAAGGACGGAATGTTTACATTCGAATTGCATCGGTGAATCGTTTTATTCGCATAAAAAGAAGAGTGAACTTGACAAGCAACCTTTACACACTTGTCCTCGAAGCTGTATTAGTAAACAAACTGTCGTTCAATTAAAGATAATCATTTGGCAAAAAAATATCGTCATGATATTTTCGATAAGTCTTTATCTGATGGTACGTGACTCGATAAGTGTGAATTCTTCGTAGAGGTTGTCAGTTATTTTGAATACCACAGTAATAATAGTTATCTAATTAAATTTATAGTAATGTAATAAACTAGGATTTTGAGATTTGAAATTGACTACTGAATTTGATGTTACGTTTAGTTGTGACTCTCGCCTCTTTAGGCGGTGATTCAGTATTTATCACGTATAAAAATAATCTTCACAGGTGTTTCATATGTTTTTGTACCATTCGGTAATCATTCATCGATTTGATAACCCTACGTATCATTTCTCTTCTATCGATGTTTCTTTTCCGTTCGTTCAAGAGTTTTCTTCATTCCACTCAGCCTATCGACGTTCCATCGCGCAAAAATCGCCAGAGGCCTCATAAAATTCGTAATTTTCTCTTTTTTACTTTTTGATAAAAAAACAGATCCATCACTTAACCGACACCGTCTACTACGTATCCCTCATTTAAAATACAATACCACTTGTGTTTTAGCGACATCCCAAATCCACATCAAGCTTCGCAGACTTCCACATGAAGGAAAATCGACAGAGTGAACTCTTAGTCGCCAGAGTTTTACCAGAGCACGCGCACGTCTTTAAAAATTACGTGGTGGTTGGTGGTGGGCCAAAAACGACCTTGCTCCTGGAAACAGCGCCAAGTACTGGCTTCACCAAGATGAAGAAACCAGCGATGAACAGCGACGCAAAGACCAGGTTCCTCCCAGTTTCGGCGATAGGCGACCATTTGTAGGTGCCAGTGATCACAGAGGCAAACAGTAGTACGGTAATGGCGATGCCACCGAACGCGTGCATGATCTTCAGAAGGACTGGCCTGAATCTCGGGTAAAGCCACTTGGGGTTGTTCGTGACGATCCCGAAGCCAGCGACCAGGAACGCCAGGATGATGCTGATCAGGCCCAGGATCGAGTGCGGGCTGGAGAAATGGGGTCTGTTGTAGTTGACCTTGTTCACCACGATAATGATCAAACCGATCAGCACGAGGGTCAGGCCTGCTGTGTGCAGGATCCAGTGCATCGTCACCCTGTTCACTCTCGAGATCTTGTGACCGATGTACGCCTCGCCAGAGATGCTGAAGACTGCCTCTGCCATCAGAAGAGCCACCTGAGGCAAAGAATGTTTGGTTTAATGGGTGGATTAGTTTGGTTTGTTAAGCATATTAAAATAGTCAGAATTTATATTTAAAAAATTCTAAATTATTTCAACGAGTTTCCCAAAGTTGTTTTCAAGCGATTTTCTTCCTTTGACTTTTGAATAATTTTGCGATCAAACTTTAAGCAAAGATACTAATCGATTACTACGACCTTAAATGTATGTGGTGTCAGATCGTCCACGTCTGGAAGATACTGTTGTCGCCATGAAATACGTAGGCTTAAAATAGACCTAGATTCTTGGTCGGTGTACTTTCATTACGTGTTTCATTCAGTAAATTGGTGTTATCTAGTTAACTACTTACTCCGAGGCTCATGCAGATAGGATGCCAGGAGAAGAATGAGTAATTTTGAAACGCCACTGTTAGTATGTATATCACTGGCGCTAGTAGAAGAACGTGAGTGAGGGTTGAAAACACCATGGTCACAACGCTCGGTGGGCCCTTGCCTGTTGGTGGGTCAGACATCGTAACTTTGTGACTGAAAGCACATAGAATTGAAATTTTAACGTTCAATTAACTTCTAACTTTTACAACATACTCTGGAAGTAACAGAAATCAAACAACAGTTATCAAACAAATTTAATAATCCTTGAAAGTGAATTTATTAAAGAAACATCAATTATAACGACACAGTGATTGTATAAATATATAAATAGGTACAAAATGTGCACACAATATTTAGGTTGCAGCCAGGTAATTTCAATTGAAAGATTCATGTCAAAGTGTAGGAGCCAATTCTGGAAAAGCGTGAAGCAAGAGGATGAGGAGGCTTCCATTCTTCGATTTACAAGAGAGTCACAGCGAATTCTTTCTGCGCAACGGCTCCTACGATCGTTTAAATGCGCGACGTGTGATTCATTGCTAATTACGCGGCACGATTCCTCGTTTCTTTCAGCATCCACTTGGGCGAACTTGCGGAACCGCAGCCTTTTGCAATTGCACAAGACTCGAACTTAATAAATGGGGCTAGTGATTAAGTAGATGGTGAGATCGAACTGTCGGTTATTACTACGAATTCGCTCACGTTTCATTTGTGCTACTTGAAGAGAAAAGAGTCCAAGAATGTTTATGACACTGTAGACTGGCCGAGTTTGTAGGGATTTAGATATGCGATAAATGGTTATCGCGACATTTTTATATTTCAGTGCAATTGATAAACGTCAGGTCAGGAAAGAGATTGCTATACATTCGGATGGAATCCATAGATTGGGATGATTTATGAATAATTTTCGCGGCATGTTAGGAATAATCGTGCTTTCGCAAAAGCAGTCCAGAAATTTCGAGAAAATTGATTTCAAGTTGATTTATATCACAAGAGTCTCGATTAATTACAGCTTACTTTTGAAGTGCAATCGACAAAGGCGACTACTTGTTCGACGATTGCTTGATCCCTAGTACGTGTTACGATAGTAATAATTTTTATGTCTGATTAATTTCCTTATCAGTGACTTGCGTGATCCAGTTCACGGAATCGTCACGTTTCTTTCGCAAAGTTTCTCTATCCGCTTATATCTGTTCTAATACCAGCGAGTAGAGTACAGTAATTATTGCAAATAGCGACAGGTTCAAGTGTTAACAGCTGTAAATTTTAACGACTGTTTCCTTAAATTGAATGAACCAACACGCTCGACCGACGACGGAGAGGTTTCGGATCACTGGCACTTGCGGTTGAGACAAATGGAAAGCAAAATTCCTCGTTTTCCCACGTCCCAGTTATGTGTAAATATTGCTAGTCACGGGAACAAAGACAATGATAAAACTGTTGTTTAATGGACGTTTGTAATTGAGGTCGATCGAGAAACATTACTTTGATAACCTTTCTGCATAGAGTTAGAGAATTGAATTGAATTATTCTATTGAAGAGAGATCGAATGTAGTAAGAGTGATAATAATGAGATACAGGGATAATAATAATTTTAATGAGCATTGTTCTAGTAGAGAGTGAAGTGGAAATATTCAAAATTGGAAGATTCTTGATCGAATATTTCTAAACGCTTGAAGTTGGAGATGATTGAACAAGGTTCTTTGAATGATCTGGTACTTATTTAAAAGTGGATTTGATTATTGTGATAAGACCTGCGGCAATATTTAAGAGAAACTTTTAGACAAAATAAAATTATGAAATAAAATCTGAGAATAAAAAGTGTAAATTACGTTTTCATCCTTTATACACAATCCAAAGATACAATACAGGCGGAGGATAATAGTAAACGGACAAGAATGAAAATTGTGAAATGTCAAATTGGTTGATAAAATTACAGATGAAATTATCCACAATTAAATTGGAGAAAATTGCGAGGCGGTTAGCAAGTTGGTCAAGAGCAATAATGGCGAATACTCGATTCGTTACCCGGGCAATTACGATCGCGGCGTGATTACATTTATTGCAGCGTAATCACGCCCACCGCAACGATCCGATTCGTAACCCAAAGTGGCATACTTTCAGACGCGCTCCGCTTTCACGGTTTCAGAGTGAAACAATACTCTCTATAGCGTGCGAAATCTCCTGTTTACACGAAACTTACATCGGAAATTAGACAAGTTCGCGATTTCTGCATGTGACATTTGTAAATCTACGTTGCATAACCGCCTGGTATAAAAATAGTCTTACAAAGCAAGCATTTTTTACATTCCATCGCAAGAAGAGGATGCTGTAATGAAATTAACCAAGTTATCAATCTGTATTTGCGTTTCGATTGAATATTTTGAAGAACAAAGTTTTTCTTTCGTAGCAATACCTAAGAAGGTTTAGCTATGTTTTTCATTTCTTTTTTGCTATGTATTTATGTAGAATAATTCGTAATGAATACAAACAATTTTAAACACATAAACAAAATAAATATCATTATAGAAAGGAAATGAGGCACTTGAGAGAGTTCATGAATATCTTTTACTTTCTATCGCGTTCTTAAGTAGACCTCTGTATATACTTGTCCTAAATAATTTTATAAATATAAATTAGTTAATTCGATGCATTAACCTAGGATACTAGTATGGTCTCGTGATTGTTTTGGTTTTGAAAATTAATATGCTTATCAGCGTTGACAACCGTGCAATAAATGTATTCGAAATTAATCCACAAGGAAAGTAGGTCTTCCAAGCAAATGAGTTCAAAGTCTTTTATCTAAAATGTAAACGTCTTTGACTAATTAGAAAAGCTTTTGCTTAAAATGGAAGCCTGAGACTACCAATCGAAATCATGTTAAGAAATGTATTCATTGTAGCAAATTTCTGCCATCGATACAATCTTAAAACAAACATAAAATCAACCTACAAAATTATTCTACTTTTCAATATATTTCCTTCCATAAAACAATTTTATCCCCTTTTCTTCTTTTCACCTAGACTAATGTTTACTCCAACATTATGTATCTGAATGCAAAGTCGTAACACATCCTGAATATAATTAAACACACTCCTGTACCAGCATGTACCATTGTTATAAATTGCCTCCACATCCTGCAAGCAATCGCCTTTCAATTCCAATAACAAATAACCAACAGATCGTCTCAGATGTCTAAGTGAAAAATTCTACTGAAAAGTTTGCCAAAGAAATTCGAGCATGCCACACGACTCTCGAGAGAACGCGTCCGGGAAAGTTGTTATCGAACGTCGAAAATTGCTCGTAAAACTCGGCATTGGATTTAAAATTGTGCTCTCTTTGGCGCTGCGGTTCACCAGAGTGTCGACTGTGTTTTTAATACGTTCACTGCAGTGTAAGTCATGCATGCCCTGTATTATGTTTCGTTGCGTGCTCGCCACACTTCATTAAACCTTTCTTACGTGCTACGAGTAGATCTCCATTATTTTCTTACTATTTTTAACACACTTTTTTGTAGAGTGAAATTGAAAAGTCTCCCATTTGCACCATAGATTAGGTTTCTGTAACAGTAATTTGGCTGGGCCTAATGTTGGATTTTTGTTTGTTCTCTTTTTTACTGTTTGTAGAGAGGGAGGATTGTTTTACATATACAAATAGTAAACATGACGCAAGTAGAAAGGGTTTGTGGCTAAATAATCTTATCTCACAGGAGAAGTGTAACACAGTGCGTATGGAAAAGAAAATTATCGGTTCAAATTAGAAACTAAATGTGACCCACATACGATAAGAAACCTGGTCTTTAAACTTCTCCAATATTATTTACATAATGTTGCTCTGTGGTTCTCTGATATCTTCGAAAGCGAACGAAAACTATCATTATTATATTTTATATATTTATATATACTCCATATATAAATATACATACTCCAAAAAATATATTTAATAAGAAACAGAACACATTCTAAAACAAACAACATTCGTTATTTTCTCCCAAAAAATTCTTCCAACTACCACAAAAAAAAAAAAAAAAAAAAAAAAATCAGTAATCAATCCCAAGTTTTGACATCAGTCACACCTGTGCGTTAATTAACTCACATTTTAGATAAATTTACTATAGCGAATCAAAATTGCTACGTAGATCCGCCTTTAAATTGCTTAAATTCGCAAAATAAATACTGCCTAGGTGTATTCTTCACGAGCATCTGTGTTTCCAAACAATAAAGTTCAGAAGAGGCGTCATCAGCGAGGATGGAGTTTAATGAGACACCTGGCGAACGTCGGGCGGGAAGAACCGTCTCTGGACTCACCTTGAACGCTGTGCAATCGCTCGATCGAACCTTGGAGCGGTCGAGGACACGGGGACGGGCCGAGTTTCCGAAAACGGAACTGCGGTTTTTTATTTAACACGGCCGTGAAAAAGAGCACGACGCGAACGACGTCCGCGGCTCGACTGAACCACGCGCTGAAGCGTACTCGCGACGATCTATCGCTGCGTTGCCGATACTCCTTACAAACACTGAGGAAAATCGTCGAATAAACGCGGCCTTGGCACGCCTAATCGCCTCGATCTTCTCCCGTTGGTATAAAATGAACGCTGATCGCGTGCTACGAGCTAGAGTCGCTCCAGCGCTCGAGTGATTCACGAGGTGGAAATTGAAGAAAAATCGGGATGAGTTAGGATGTTGGAATTTGCATTTCAGTAAATTCTGTGGTAAATTGCGTTTATTTGAGGGGGAAATGTCATTGGGAGATCAAGCATTAAGGGTGGACACCATATTAGGAGTTCAAGCATTAAGTCTCTCGGGATATTTGTTTTTACAGAGAAGAATTTGTGTAATTTTTGTTTAACTTTGATCATTTTCAGGTATATTTCAAAGTACATTTGGTAATTTTTCGAATCCATTCCACACAGAAATCTTTGCTATTTGAAATTTCTAAGTGCCCCTAACTCGTTAAGGGAGGAAATATTGGGAGTCCGAGCATTCAGTGTTGATTTAAGGCAAGACTCGCTTTTATTTAATTTTGAAGTCTCTTTCACATCGAAACACAATACCGTTATGATACGAGACAATGGCTTATCGTAAATCTCCTAAAATTACATGCAGTGTACTGCCAGAAGCAATAATGTTACGCAGGTGATTGAATAATTATTATAATAAACAGAATACAATTAGCAGCTTATGAACCGATTCATATTGTATTTAATAATACTGCGCAGTAGACATCGGAGTATATTTCATCATAAATAACTGAAATTATGTTGTAAATTATCTGGCAATATCGAGCAACGAGGCGTCAGAGTTAATAGTCGTTTATTATTTATAAACATCGTTTCAGCCATCATAACGTATGTAATTCTCTTCACACACACACACACACACACGCGCCAAAGACAATTTTTCTCTCAAAAAAGAATGTGTCGTAATGATATGATAAATCTATGCAAAAAATTTAATACCTGTAATAAAATAATTTGCAACGAAACGTGCAAGATCCCGTTGATACTTTCGCATTATTTCTCCTTCTGAATTTCCTCCCTAAATTGGCACTCACATGGTCCCGTGCACTCGGTCGAAGAAACAGTAGCAATATTTCATTCCAACATTTCGTCTCGGTCGAAGTGAATTACACAATTCAACGGCAAACACGTGAAAGGATGGAAGAAAGAATGCTACAAGAAAACTTGAAAGGAACTGGCGTCGGAGCTTTGTTAGAAACCAGTGGCACGCGATATTGGATCACAACATGGCGAACAATGGAGGTCTCTGATTTACCTCCTGGCGCGAACTAGATCTCCACGAGCACTTAGAAAAACCGCCTCGAAGTTTACCACGGCACGAATGTTCGAAACGAATCGCGTAATCAAACGATTTCGAGTACTTAAGTCGAGTCTGGGAATAGCTCGAAATATTTATTATTTATTTTTGCGAACGGCGTTGCTCGAGTTGCTTACAATATAATCTAATAATAGCTGGAGTATTTACGATCTCGAGCAGGCATTATGTTAGCGGAAGAAGCATTGTGTCAGGGTGCAACTGTATGGAGAATGAAAGATGGGTTCTGTAAAGAATCGCGTGTCGTGGTTGGGTCGGATGTCTTAATCAAGTATCACGATTTTAGGGAACTAGAGAAATATTAGAAACTAAAATAATTGAAATAAAATGATTAATAAATAAAAATAAAAATTAAGTGTTTATTGTAGGTTTTATTGTTGACAAGAAATGCATGCTGAGATTCGTTATCGTCTTGGCTGCACACCCTGTACGATACGCGCATCTTCGCTCATGAATTTTCATTGCACACCGGTTATGCTAATTGCTATTATGCAATTGTAACGCCAGATTTATAAACATTCCGATGTGATCGGGGGAAGACAGTGGCTGATAACAATTCCCGATTGCAAGAATGAAAACATGGCTATTTCTCAGTCCAGTGGTTCTCAATTATGATACAGTTTAAAAAATACAAATCCTGCTTTACGCTTCTTTTGTATAAGAAATAAATGTTCGAACAGGTTGAATAAACTCCATTGAATATTCAAATCTTTTCTATCTTTCGTTTTTAGATCACAAGATTATATTACAAGTCGAGTACCTGATAAAGATATAACTAGTAACATTCTCACGTTTTTAAACAAGATACACTTTTATAATTATGGGCTTCATTTCAATTAATAAAGTACATTAAAAACACACGAATTAATTCTAAATATTTAAAGTTTGGAAATCACTGTGGCAGTCATTGACTTGAATAGCTTTGGGACACCCTATAAACAGCGGGCTCATTCGCGCCGAGGCAGCCGATTTAGGGTATGCATTACTGCTGCGGTAAGGTTTATGACGGCACTTCAGTGTTAGTGGCTGCTGATTACAAGACCACGTGGCCGTCAGACCGGAGTTCATGTTTTTCTCCACTCCGCCCACGTAACGAAGGTCTTTTTTCGATGGCCCGACGAATTTGGTAAAGAACGAGCGAGATGAAACCGAGAGTCTCTGTGTGCAACGACTCCAACGGAAGCACGACTTCCTCGTTCAATTTATAACGTTGCACTGAGCGATATTTTATCAATTTCACTGGACATAATTGAATTTTAACAAGGTTTCAAATGTGTAGAATGTATAAATTCACAGTGGGAAATTCATTCCTCCAGAAAACGTGAAATTTATTTTAAGAAGTAACCTGTAATTATCGAGCGGATATTAATAACGAGAACAATTAGAGAAAGTTAGAAGATTAACCAAAAAACACAGGTGTTTAGTAGTTTATATACACCACACTTGTTTTTGGGTCACAACCTTTTGCATTTTCGAACACCACCTTCATCTATCATTTATGCAAGACATACGATGTAGGGGTCAGTATTCTGTCTTACAATGTAACAACATCATTTATCTCACTCACAAGATAACAGCAGCACCTTGTAACTATTGTTTCAACATTATTTGCAGGATTTACTGTACGATGTTCCCATTGATATCAGATAATTCAAGAAAGTTGCATCGTAACGTCTTAGCCAAGAGATAGACAGTCTTAGATATTTTTCTAAATATCATATACCTATTTTTTTTAACTCTACACTAATAAACATGGTATCTGAAGATGGTCACAAAATAAGGACTGATCAATCTTTTATTAAGTATTTGAAAACCTATACAGATTGCACCCTAAAACTAACCAATTCAAATTGTTCATACTTCCTCAAATACGGTACAGTATGCACCAGGAACAGTTACTAAACCACAACCTCGTTTATGGTTACAGATGGTTGGATCTGTCCCAGCGATCTACCAATAACGGAGCCTGGCAACCGTAACGAGCGTTACGTTATTGACTAATTGGAAACGAATTGTTCTCCACGAAACAATATCATTAGTCATAAACTTGTCGAACAGTGTACAATGTTTCTTCATTGATCGGCACGTTAGTTGTGATTCTAACTAACGATCCATCGCACACGCCATTTGCTGCGACGGAAGTATGCATGGACAGTTCATACGTATGCACGCTAGCGCATAAATCGGCCTCGACGTTCGTCGGAATGTACTCCGATTGCTTATTCGAGGCGTGGATGCCGGCTATACTCTGATTATGCAAATATTCGGTGGTAATAACGTTAACAATGCCTGCAACTTCACGCGTGCGTGAATCCTTGTGCCTCAATTAAAGCCCGCCACTCGAGAGTATTAAACCATTTTCAGGCGTACCATTTTTCATTAATCGCTCACGTGTTATTCATCGAAAGGGACTGAATCATGTGCCCATAAATTATCATCGCTTTAGACGACTTATTTTGTTTATGGAATAATTGATTCACGTGGAAGAATTTGTGAAATTTTATCTAGGGAATCTCTGAACTCTTTGTAGCGTTTATAAAACGTTTTGATGACATGAAGAATGATGTCCACTTTCTGTAATTAATTTTATCGTACAGATCTGTGTGTCTTCATTTAAAAAATTCGTTATCGTCATTCTTTCCAATGTGAAAGATAAAATATAAATAAAGGCCAAGGTGGTAAATTAATAAAACAAATAAGCAAAAACTTATTATTTTCCGACTAACGAATTTATTTCTAAGACGTTTATTTCTTATTCGTTAAGACTCATCTTGTAATTAAAAAATGACGTTACTGGACAAAAATGTGTACGAAGGCAAATAAGAATCTGTTTCTGAGTCAGTAGTCGATTCACGAGCAATCGTCCCCCTTTTTTTCCTTGCATATTTTTCTAGTGACGCGGTTTTATCTACCAGTTACACTATTCTTTAATTGAACGCAACTGCTGCTTTAATCGTGAATCGTCATCGCGAGTCGCAGCGATGCGCAATAGCCCAATTCGCTGGGATTCTTTTCATACAAATTTTTCTATCATTTTAAAACGAAGACATAGGAGGTTAACGAAACGTACCTAATCCATACGATGATACAGAGGACACAGTTACTTTAATTACTCATTTAAAGAGTGAGTTTCTCGTTCGAAGAATTTCATGCACTTCGAGATCATTAAATTATAAATAACGATACTCTTCTTTGATTGTCGATTCAATTCTGTGACTGTTAAAATAATTTTATAAACATGGTAGATGAAAGACACAATTTCGAAGGGAAACTATAATGGAAGGAAAATTTGAAAATGTTTAAGAAAATTCTCTACACGATCTAGAAATGTTAAACCAATAAAACCTTATATAAACAACGCTTCATATTCTACGTTGCTAACAAAATTCTATCACCTCTAATCTAAACAGAATCACAAATTAAAATAAAACCCTGGTCAAAGCAAAACTCTTCACATTTTCCGTCTACCGATCAAAGGCTTTACCTCTATCTAAAAAATGATCAGAATTTCTTTTTGATCCCTCGCGTATTCACTTGAAAATTTCCAAGAGCGTACGATAACGTGTATTCGACCTGCGAGGATTATTATGAATTTCTATTACATATCTCGCCAGCACGTGGCCTACCTGACAGCTGGTTTATGTTGTCCGCGAGTTACTATGACGACCGGAACGATCACCACGCGACCAGGGCGAACACACGGTTGGCGTTTCTTGGAAACTTCGCAACAGTAATGTATCCGCGATAGTTTGCTGGTGAATTTGCGACACGAAACGGTAAATTACTCCCTGGAGAAGAAAAATGGTGGTGGTGGACAAACGTAGATCTTTGATAGTGTCCACGGCGAGACATTTCTTCGGGGTCCCACTGACGGACGAGGAGACCATCGCTGATGGACAGTCGGTGTTGGACAATTTCCTGGACAAAGCCACGTGCAGGACCCTCTGCGCGCAACCAGCTGACGAGGATGACGAAATACAGCTGAAGTTGAGCAACGAGTTGCCTGTTGGGAGAAACACTTTGGTTTTCTTCAAGGTAATACGAAAATTCAAGATGGAGGTGGTATCTTTAAGATAATGTGAATTCAAGATAGATTGGTTATCTTCAGGTACCATCTCTGAATCACAAGAAAAGGGTGCAGAACATAGTTTCGTATTTTTCTATTACGTGAGAATTGTTTTATTTGTTTAAGAAGGATTTCTTCGTCGTTTGTATGTCTGTGGATTAATTGGTAGAGAGGATTGGAGGAATATGGGATAACTGTTTTGTATTTTTATTTTGGGGGAGGAGGGGTATGGAATAGAGGTAGATCAAGAAGTAGGTTGGAAATCTAAAGGGAATTTCATACTTAACGTGGTGATTTTTTGAATAAATACATTTTAAGCGAATAACGTAAACGAAACTCTTCTTGATCAGGTATAAAGGTAGAGGAGAGAAGTATAATCGGATGTTTGACAGTTGACAGAAGCTCCAGTGACCGAGAAGAATTTCCACGAGCTGGTTCAGGTGACATCCACCGGTACCGGCAAAGGATCGACCCTGATCGAGGCACTTCGGCAAGTATGGGCTCCGACTCTGCGATCCTCCGGCCTCAGTTCGTCGTGTTTGAAGAAACTAGAGGAGAATCTTCTCGGCTCGCCGGCTACGGCTTCTGTTCTCGAGGAGGAGGATTATTGGAGGAAGAAATGGGAGGAGACGAAGCGTTCGCACGACAGGACGATCTACGGCGAGGCTGTGAAGAGCTTGAAGAGCATCAGGGCCGAGCTCGAGAGCGCAGCGGTGGCTAGGTGCCGTAAAGATTCAAGAATAATAAAATTGATCCCAGTAAACGCACCAGCTGATTTATGTAAAAGCTCGCCAAGACGTTTCAGCTTTCTCTGAAACACTGTTCTCTATTTCCTCTGCTTTTAATGGCGTTTCCTCTTCGATTCTTCGCTGTATGACGCGTTACAATTTTACTTAAAATTTTATTTTTCAGGAAAGTCGATATATTTTTTCTTTTACTCCATATGTTGAATATGAGATTGCTGTTGGACTTTAAGTAATTCGTACAGAATATTTTATTTGAATTTCATTGCTTTGAGTTATCGCTATCGTTATATTCGAAAGCACCGCATTCATTTCTGTAATAACGTCCACTGTCCAGAGATGGGTTAATTGGAGTGGAAGATGCTGTCGAGGCAGTTTCGGGTTACGTCGACGACTTATGGAAGTTAGGGGACACGGTGTACTCCGAAGAACGTATGAAGTCCTTTCTGGACATTATTGGGGACGAAGTGGTGTCCCTAGTGAAAAACGTGATGGATGAGGTAATGCATTCAAGCATCCACATTTGAAGATAATAAAAACAAATTGCGTCATCGATATTGCAACAGATGCGAACTTCTGATGATCGAGTGAAAGTCGAGGCGATGTCACTTGGCGCGAGTATTTGCGAAAAATGGACGAGCATCGCGGAACAGTTTACGACGCTCTTCTGGCCCCATCACTCTGTTCATCCTTGGAAGGGTGCTAGCCATACACCAGAGAGATGCTCGCGAATTGGCACACGACTCAGGTATGAGAACTGGCTCTTCCTCTTCCTGGTTTCTAGGGAAATACAAAGCAATATTCGTCATCTTTAGGCAGATTGCCGAGTTACGTGCGCAGTATCGACAATTAACCAGGTTGCTGACAGCTAATGAAAGATCAGGACTTGGCACGGATACCCTGATGCAATGCTTTGACGATGTTAGAGGTATAATGACTCTGTCAACATTTTTTCTTCCTCTTTCACCATCTACACTGCTGTCGTAAAATGACAGAGATGAACCATTGACGAATGATAAATGAAAAATCAAAAGCAATTTTGAAAGTAATTTATAAAAAAAAAAAAAAAAAAAAAATAATATTTAGCGTTGATTGATGTTCAAAAATCTGATGCAATTCTTCTAATTGTATTAGTGGTTTTCGACGAAGACGAGAGGAGCGTCGACTGGAATCGACTAAGAAGAAAGGTCGAGGAAGGTTTGGTACCTGCTGAAGAAAGGGTCGCACAAAAATTGAAGTCCCAAATCGCCGATGCCTCCACGCCTAACTCGCTGCTTGCTGAATTTCGACGTTACCTTGAACTGATGAAAAGGGATGGCCTGAAAAGGGTTTTACGAGGGGAACGGGAAACGTTGCTCTCAGCTTATGGAGACCTCATAGGTAACTTCAGATAAAGACACGATAACAAAGAAAACTGATGCTGCTCAAGAATCCTTTCTAAATTCTTCCATATTTTATTTTATCATTGAAATCTGCATTCCTAATTAACGAAATTATTTCGACCAATTATTGCAACGTAACTATCCGATATTACTTTGTTTGTACCATTTATCGTGTTGCACAGTCTCTTGAAAAAATACTAAATAATAAATGATCGAAATATTGAAGTCTGATAGATCATTTATAAAGTAAAACATTTAATTCGAGTCCCATCTTTCTCCCATGGCTAAAAGAAAATTGTATCGACGAACGAACCCATGATATCGATGAGCTAAGAAGATTTGTTCATATTTAATTTCAATATAAGAAAGCTGCTTGGCCGGACCGGACACGGAGGATCTTCTGGACAGCCCTAGAATACTTCAGGAAGTTCAAGCTGCCAGGTCATCGGAAATGAGGCTCGAAAGTTTGAGCGTATTAGGAAAAGAGTTGCTGGCTGATCTTCCCGGGTACGAGGAAATCTCATCAAAAGTAGCCATAGCTCTGAGGGACATCGAAAGGAAACGTCAAGGGTTCCTTGAAACTTGGGTAACACTTTGTCTATTTAAAAAAAAAAAGTAATTTTCTGGCAATACAAACATTGACTAACATAGAAAAGCAAGTCTAGAAAAATTCTGTAACTAAGAAGATGATTTTTGTGGTGGAACAATCAAATTTTCTTCGAGCATTATTAATACAAAATTCACTTGAAATGAATTTGAAAATTTTAAATTACGTTTTATACAACTTCAACAATGGATGGCTAAAATCGAAAAGATTTTCCTTCCTCATTATTCACAATACCTTTAATGGAAGAAGTATTCGAGCACAATAGTATTATATAGTTCTTGTTGCTTTATGATATTTAATCCAATTAGGTGAACGTTTGAATGCTCCTTCTTCCAGAATAAAGACTTCTTTTAAAATCTTCCTTTGTTAACTATCTGTGACCATTATTTTGTTATTTTAATGAGTCCACGGTATTCTTCCTTCATAACCTCCCCAAAAGATAACTTTATAATATATCTGTGTGATAAATATCCTCAACAATGTCTTCCAGGATCCTCACAGTCTCAGATATAATTAACAAACATATTTAATAGACAGAGGAAACGAAGAACGCTGTCGCGAGAAGAGAATTATCTCTTGGCACCGATTCAGCAGTGGTAGAGTTAACTGGAACCAGCATGATGCGAGTGACCTACGACCCGAGGCTGATGACCCTGATCAGGGAAGCCAGAGCGCTTTCGAGTCAAGGTGTCGAACTTCCTCGCGAGGTGAAGGACCTGGTGGAAAGAGCAGGCGCTCTGGCGGGACGTGCCAGGGCTCTTCAGCAAGTCGCGACCTTCCACAACACCATTGGCGATCGCATGGTCCCGTCCCAGAGGCCACTGATGCTCACAACCGCTCTCGAATTGGCTCGAGCTGTTCAAGAACAATCTGGCGTCGTTTGGTCTGATCCTCTGGCTGTCGATGCTTACACTGCCAGACTGAAAGAACTGGTAACATAATTATTATTTTAATGGGGAGGGCTATAAGCGTAAAAAAAATAAGGATGAATGTTGGTCAGGCTCAAAATAAGATATAGAAACTGTATAAATACGTTAGAATGAAATTGTTCATTTACTAAGTTTTACGTTTAAAATACAGATAATCCAGGTTCGAGAATATTTCTTCCAAACCAAAATTATTATTTTTTTGTATATATATATATCGAAAAAATATTAAATAATAAATAGTGGAAGTATTTTCAAAGTTCTCAATTTAAAAACTTGTCAGTGCTCCATTCTGGCTCTTCCCGAGTTCAGACTGTAATCATAATAATATTTTCAAAAGAAAACGCTATCGGTTATCATTTTTGATAATGCAGGTGAGAAAGTTTGCGAAACAAAATTCTGAGCTGGCCGCGAAGCACGGTTCGTTACGGGACTTGGTGTCGAATTTATTAAAAGGAGAGACAGTCAATCTGATTGGAAATCAGAACGCTTGGAAAGACACCCTGATGAACATGAGGACCATCGTGGACACCGTGGAAGCTGAATATGGAAACACGAAAGCTTGGAAGCTGCATTGGGACAGGCAGCTACTCAAAGCATTGGGTGTAGCTTACAGGTACATATCATAAAGCACTATGCAAACTAGTAGTACAGAAACAAGAAGATTCTAAGAGTACACAAGTAAATGACACTAATAAATTGTTTGCCAGATTGAACAAATTTAATATAATTTCATAATATGATCAACCTCAGAAAATCAAGTGAACCTCATAAACCTTACATGAAGTTTCTCTGACTCGAGCACACCTACCTCTCCAACAAACGAACAAAAAATAATGAAATTTCTACCATAATTCAGTAAAAATTGATGAAAAAGTGGTGACATTTTCCAAGGTGTCCCTACCTCTTACAATAAACCACGCAGAATGAGTTTCTAATGAATTTCGAATGTTCTTGGAATCATTTCACCGCGATAATGCGCAATTTTCATATTCATTGGAGATTTGCATAAAACGGACGAATGAGAACTTCCTCCTTTCTACCTCCCCGCTCCCCTCTCTTTTTTTTTTTTACAGAGGAGCCCTACCGTCGCTGTTGAAGAAATTGCCGGATATTAAAGTGGAGCTGACGTTTCGAGACGGTTCTTTGCAATGGAGGCCGTCTCTGGAGGAGATCCGCGCGAAATTGTACTCGGCGATACGTCGATCGCTTTCGATCCCGATGAACTTCAGGGGGGTCGGAGACGCGGCGGACGCACACTTCGGCGATCTGATTCAAAGAAGCGGCTATCTATTCGGTGGCGTCTACAAGCAGGCCGAAATTGCTCTTTCCGCTCTGGAAACGCTCAGAATGAAATGGCTTCATCTGGCGGCGCCAGCGAAAATCGAGGCTGCTGAACGGTACAACCTGATTGAACGTGATGTTAACAGTAACGAATGCCTTCGGACGTTGCCTCCGGGTTCATTTAGTATGATTATTTCCAGTGGCAATTTCGAAAGTTACTTCTTGACGGGGCACACGTTTATTTTTATTAGTTCGAGGCATTCATGATTTTTTTTGCGGGTGAAGTAGTTGGCATAAATGTTTGAAATTTGGTACGTTTATTTGTGCACGTATATAGAAGGTTTTATAAAATTTTCATGTTTCCTGGTCAATTTATTTTGAAGTTACATAAAATATTACACGTCATGCCAGATGGAATATGCGTGATTGAAAGTCGTGATATAAATAGTCATAATTTTGCAAAGAATCATCAATTCTTCGTTATAAATAATCACAAACAAATCACCAGCCTCCTCATCTAGCATACCTCCCATTCTCACTTAACAATTTCATTCAAATTTCAATGTAATTCTCTCTCCAACACCCAGCTTGAAAGGACGATCGCCACAGGAGTGGTCAAGGGCCTTCAAAGACTCCAAACAATGGGCCCAAGAGGTCAGTCTTCTCAACCGCACTTCGTCCAAATTCGCCACCTATTTCTCTACACAAACCTATGTAATAATTCCCAAAAAATCAGGTTGGCAAATTACGAGGAAGCGAAGTGAAGGTTTGGTGCATCAGCGTGGACACTTCGACGACCAGGAACGATTTGGAATCGGCCTCCCGTCGCTACTGGGAACGTTTGTGCTCCGATTTGAGGGTGGAAGCCTCGTCGAGGCTGGTGGCCATCGTGGAGTTCCTTTCTTCCGCTTCGAAGGAGCTGGAACGCAGACCTCGAAGCGTGGAGGAAGTTGGATTGGCTTACGAGGCACACGCGCGAATCGAAGAGCAGTCGTCCGGCATGGCTGAAGAGATGGAAGCCATCGCCGGACTCTCCAAAGTGCTCGCTGCGTGGACCAGCGAGAAACTCGAGGGTAATTTACCCGAATTAATTGCTCGATGGAAACCTCGAAACCACAGAAATTACTTGTTAGGAAGTTTACGAACTCGTTCTTGAATAGTCTGATGGAGGATAACTTAGCCTTTTGTACGAACCTAACGTTTATTATTAACACTAAACCAACCACGGCCGGTCAAATGACCATTTCTACCCATTTTGAAAATTGCTAACCCCACCTGGAATTTATCGAAACAGGTGTCAGCGCAGCATACTCATCCTGGCAGGACCTGGCCGACCGCTTGGAGCGTCACAAGACAGTAGTAGCCCGCGAACTTGAAGACGCCAAAGTGAATCTCCGTCACAGAGCAGTGGCCTTGCGAGACGAGCTGGAAAGATGGCAGACGAAATGGTCCTCCAAGCCAGAGATTCTCAGCCTGGACTGGATCATCTCCATGAGGGAAAGGTGGACGAACCTGAGGGAGCAGCTGGACGCTCTCAATACCGATTGTCGAAGGATAGAGCTGAACGTCGACGACGTTTTGGAAAGCAACGAGGAGAACATGAAGAAGCTGGAGTTGCAGCTGGAAGGAGAGGAATCCAACTGCCGGTTTCAGGCTGAGTTCTTGGAGGAGTTGAAAAACCAAGAGGACGAAGAATGGACAGTGGCGAGGAGAAGGCTCCCCAGGCTTCACGACTGGCTGGATTCTTGGGAGAGCAGGATACGTGTCCAGTTGAAGGATCAATTGAAAGATGAATCCTTGGATCAGAGGGACAGTATGGAGATGGACACCTCCGTTGGCAGAAAGGTGCGCGAGGTCAGGGACGCCATCGAGTGGCTTCAGCTTCTTCGAGGCGATGAAATCGCGGATGAACATTGGGGTGAATTGAAACCACTCCTGAATTTGAACGACGTCAGGCACACAAGGGATATTACCTTGGGCCACTTGCTTCGTTCCGTGGAGAAGATCCAGGAGCACTCTGAGAGGATCAAGGTGACGATCTAAAGTTTAATTTCCTTTGTGTCCTCACTTGAAATTGGAAAATGCTGAGACGAAAACTGCTGGAAAGTTGATGGAAATTAATGTACAGGGTGCTTCATAACATGTGGTATTAATCCTGTTAGATTAAATTTGGACTATGGACTCACTTCCAAAAATTCAATTCTAAAATAATAAAAATCTAAAAAGGTTAACGCGTACATTAACAATTGCAATTTTCAATCAGGAAATAGGAAAGAGAGCAGCAGCGGAGAGCGGCATACGCCAGGGGTTGATGGAACTCGAATCCTGGGAGGCGTCTGCTCATTTTCAACTTCAAGACTCAAAGGACAGTAAGAACGTCAGCATACTTCTCGTGGAGGAGTATGGAACTTTATTAGCAAGGGCAGGTAAATCTAATTTTTTTCGTTTGAGGAACAGACAACAAGCTCTCGTAATTCACCGAAAGAACTACGTGGTAAGCTAATTACGTTCGTTAACGAAAAGGTGAACTGAGACTGTTGCTGGAGGGCGCGAAAGGGGCAGCTGGGTACGAGAGGTTCGCTGCCCGCGTGGCTCGTTGCGAAAGCGGACTTTCCGAGATGGAGGAGCGAATAAAGATACTGAGCACTATTCAGAGGAAATGGGTTTACTTGGAACCAGTTTACGAGGGAGGCGCAGCTCCTAACGACACCGGACGGTGGTCAAGGGCCAACAAAGAGTTCAGGTGATCGATTAGTGGAGACGTTCTTTTTATTGAGGGTTTCGACTTTTGTGAAAGCTCTGATTGGTGAACATGAAAATGCAGTTGCGTTTTTAACATTCTGTTGGATGAATTTTATTACAATTTTCGAAATAGAAATGATTTTTTGTCTACATATTCATGAATTCGTATATTTATAATATGTTTATGAATTTGTATATCGAATTTATATATTCACAAATTAATTGATATTTGAGTTCCGCATTAAGAAACTAAATTCCTATAATAGCAATAAGCAATAATGGTGTATTAAAACTAGTCCTCATTCTGAATTACACAGTATCAAAGTAAATCAAAGGAATTGATAGAACACATTGAAGGTATAAAGAAATCTCCTTGTGCACTTGAGATGTCAATGGTACTTCTGAAGAATTTGCAATGTAATGCTTGGAAATTGTAGATTCAGAGTTCCTCATAGCGATTGGGACGAATGTTTAGGTATCTCATGGGAGAAGTGTCTCGTGATCCAAGGCTATCATCCCTAAGGAGGCTTCCCATTTCAGCCTTCACGAATTTAAAAGATCTCCTCGACAGATGCCAGAGAAGTCTCGACGAGTACTTGGAGGTATTACAGAGTCTTTTTGAAACGGAAATCTATCTTTATGGTTCTACGACACTGTCAGTTATTAGAATAAGAAACAATAACAGTGGACGATTGTTATACTCTAGTATCTGTAAATCAGTTTTATATATTTTTATATACATAGTGATCTAGTAGAAATAAACGACCACAGTGTAAATAAGTTACTTAATGGCCTATTTTTACCAAGAATAAAGACTGCCACCAAATTTGATATTTCAAGTTGGAAATCTTTTACTTTAAATGTAAAACTCTTCAACCTCTCTTCATGCTTGCAGGAGAAACGCTCTTCCTACCCACGCCTGTACTTCCTAAGCGACGAAGATCTCCTCGAATTAGTGTCAGCCAACGGCAGGGGCCTGGAAGCTCATCTACCAAAGCTCTACCAAGGTGTAGGTACGATAATAAAGGACGACAATGGTCTGATAGCCGTTGTATCGCCAGAAGGTGAAAAATTAGAGTTACCTAATCCTGTGGACCTTCGAGATTCTCTTCCACGGTGGTTGAGCAATCTTGAAGAGGGGATGAAAAGCACGCTTCGTCAGAGCTTGGAAAAATGCCTGGTAGACACCATGCCTGATCCATCGGCTTATCCAACTCAAGTAAGACTTTAATTAATTAATGACAAAGAAATAAATTGAAGAAAGAAGAACTACAAGTATCCATTTTGCCAATAATTTTGATTTTGAAAACGTTACAAAAATATAAAGTAATTTCCTAGCCTCCCTTAGTCCACTCCCTGAATTCCCATACCCCCCTCACGTCGACCCTATCGCTTCTTCATATAATTTCCTGGGATATTGGATCTGCTTCTGACTTATTCAGTAACTGTAACGAACGTAATATCCTGTCAAGGTGCTGTTACTGGCAGAAAGAATTCGATTCACGGAACGATGCGAGGCAGCGTTGAAGGAGGGTCGTTCGTCTTTGAAGAAACTCGTCGAATATCTGGAGACACAAAGAGCGAGATACAGAGGGCTGGAGGATGCTGGTGACAAATTGACCGCTTTGAAAGCTCGCGGCCTGCTCCTTGACACTGTTCACCATCTCGAGGTAGCCAGGAATCTTCTGAACGTCACCCTGCAGGACGAGAGCACCGTTTGGACCTGGCAGAGGCAGCTGAGGAGTTACAGGACTGTAAGATTATTCAACTATTCTGTTCCTGAAAGCAGGGATCACTATTTTATTTAACTTCCCGTTTCGTACACTCTTTCATTCATCGACTATCGAAAGCTCAGGTCATTCCAAAGTCAACAGGATTTCTGAGTCAGAGCAATCGTTCCTTTTCTTGGAGTTAATTCCTAAGGACATACATTTTGGAGTAATTCAATCTAGTTTTTTTTAGAAATCTACGAGTTAATAGGTCGAGTTTCAACAAGTTCAGAGAGCGATTTGTTTTTTTAGAATAAAGGACCAGTGGTGCGATGCGCTGGAGCGGAATTTCCATACCGTTTCGAGTATCAAGGGGCGGCAGTGGGTTTGGTGCAAACTCCGTTGACAGAGAGGTGTTTCCTGGCACTCGCTCAGGCTATGAAACTCGGCTTGGGTGGAAGCCCAACCGGGCCAGCTGGAACTGGAAAAACCGAAAGCGTCAAAGCGCTGGGGGCTATTCTCGGCAGGCTGGTTTTAGTTTTCAATTGCGACGAAGGTAAGAATGCGACGTTTACGATCTACAAATCGATTTCTGTATTCCCAAACGAACAGCCATAGCTGTATTTATATTCTTTGCTATTTCAATCATCATTCTTTGGTAGCATGCATCTGTGAGGATTTTTATTTTTAAATTTCAAGAGTTCTTCTCTTCATATAAGAAATTCTAAACTACTTATTTTTTAAGGTAGCTTGCAATTGGCTGTAACAGATGTTACACTTATTAATTAGGAATGGACGCTGGTAGCATGCGACGAATCCTAGGTGGTCTCGCTCAAGCTGGGGCATGGGGTTGCTTCGACGAATTTAATCGCCTCGAGGAAGAAACCCTGAGCGCTGTGGCGATGCTGGTTAGACCTCTTCAGGAAGCTGTTCGCGACGGCTCCTCTCAGGTTCTATTGGACGACCAGAAGGTGAATCTCGATCCACACTGCTGCGTGTTCATCACGATGAATCCCGCTGGGGTCGAGTACGGTGGAAGACGCAAGCTTCCAGATTCCTTAGCGAGACTCTTCAGGCCGATTGGAATGGCTCATCCCGACAGGTCGGACATAGTGAAGGCGTTGCTGGAGTGTGCTGGATTCCTGGAGGCCTCGACGTTGGCTGTCCAGCTCGTGGAAACTCTGGATACAGCTGAGATACTGCTTTCCAATCAGCCTCACTATGATTGGGGTCTCAGAGCTCTCAGATCTGTCCTCGACGCGATTCCTACGGCATCTGACTTGGACGAAACCAGCAGGTTGCCTTTGTTTGAATGTTCATTTTTATGTCACCGATTATCAAATATATTTTTTAATAGAATTAAAAATAACAATTTTCATTGGTCAAGATTTTGTAATCACACGTTGCCGAAGAAGTCATAAAGAAGTGCCCTAAGCGATCAATTTTCCAGATTAGTGGCTGCAATCAGAGCATCAACGCTGCCCAAGTTGACAGAGGAGGACACACAAAAATTTCTGTCATTACTGGAAGACGTTTTTCCAAAAGCTGCTCCTTCGTCCTACTCTTTCATTGACAGGAGAGATTTGCAGACAGCTTTGCTGGAACTTTGTTCCAACCAGGAGCTAGGGGAGGAAATAGCGAACAGATGCATTCAGTTGAACGATCAACTGAAGAGCAGAACCGGCGTGGCAATCGTTGGTCCACCAGGAAGCGGTAAAACGACCATAAGGAAACTGTTATGCGACGCACTAACGAAAATTGGAGAAACGGTTATTGAATTCCACGTTTATCCTGGCGCCATGCCGAAGTCTAGACTTTTAGGACGCATCGATCCTCAAACTAGGTACTGACGATGTTAACATTCTAAATTCGAATCGATTTCGATCCTAATTCAACCTAATCTTGGTGTCAGAATTATAAAAATAATTCGATTAGTACGAGGTTGGATATAAGAATTCGTTCAAGTGCTCCTTTTTCTCTTATAACCAAAAATAAATTTCCATTACTGATATTATTTTTTATAAATAACAAAATTTATGGATAAAATGTCCAAATAATAATGCTGTAAATTCCAATTCAATAATACTTGTAATACATGAACAGGAATTAATAAGCAAACTCAAGGTAATGAAATCAGGATTGCAAATATCGAATCACTCTTTTTAAAAACGGTTCCGAGAAAAAGGTTGTTGCCTTGGGGTTTTAGGGAATGGAAGGAAGGTCTGTTATCGAGCGTGGTGGCATCAGCCGGCGAATCTACGACTTGGATCATCCTGAATGGTGACGTGGAACCCGATTGGGCCGAAGCTCTCAACTCCGCTCTAGACGACAATCGATTGCTGACCTTACCCAATGGCGTGGGCGTGAAACTTGGCACCGGAACAAAGTACACTTCTCGCCATTTATGACTCTATACATTACTTTTTGCTCGTTTACCCGGACTCTTCTATTTGTTTTACGAGAAAGCTTTTCTCAGCGTTCTCGTAATGGCAATGGATAAATTCAGTTCATTCGAAACGTTCTGAATGAACATATTAGACTACAAATTCTGGAAAATTTTAGTCAGTGGTGCATTTAATAGCTTCATAAAAAGGAATCCACATTTATTATAGAAAGTTTTCATTTTATTTTGGAATATAAAACTTGAAAAATCGTAAGACATAGCCCAGTATTGGAATTCTTTATTTCAGAAGCTGTTATTCCAATAATACCTACATTCGCTTTTATTAATTTCTAAACAGGTTCATCTTCGAGACCCACAAGCTGGCTGGCGCGAGTCCAGCCACAGTTTCGCGATTAGGAGTGGTTCACTTGGGCTCGACGAGCCCAAATTCTTTGCTGGTACCGTCTCGATTGAAAGCGTTGCCAGAGGCGGCGAAAGAGTTCTCGAATTCTCATCTTTGTCCCTGTATCGAGGAATGCTTGAAGATCAACGCGGATATTTCCTCTGCCTCTGGTTTAATGGACTCCGCGTTCTGCCATTTAAAGAAAGCTCGCACCTACACCTCAGCTTCCTACGCTCTGATTGCGTCTTTGTGCAGTCAAATAGGGGATGAAACTCCTAGGGACGATTTGGCACGTTTTGTTTACCAATCGACCGATTGCTGGTGAGAATCTTAAAAGTCAAAGGGAAAAAATCTAATTTATTTATTAAAGGATGAATCTTTGCCAATTTCAAACACTCACAACGTTACTACATAGTAGCTACTTTGAAACAGCAAAATTACCGACATACTACGGCTAGCTAATTTACTGAATCATTAAAACGAAATCATGCTGAAATGGACCAAATCAGAACACAGATAATTATTCTATTTGTCTCTTATCGACAAGCATATCAACAACGCGTATTGTCTTTATTCGCCACCTGCTGTTACGATGCAATTTCGCCTGTCTGCGATCGATTAGTTTGTTGTCGCTCAAAATCACAGGTGTCCAAATCCAGAGAAACCGAACGCTGTGCTGTACAATGAGGATACGGATAGATTGGAAGCTGTCGGAGATGCTAACCAATCGACGGACACGGACGATGGACCTGTTTCTCTGTCAGGTATCGTAATATAGATATGCCTAAGATCGCATAAGTTTTGTCCCGCTAGATCGCTGAAATATCACACTGTGTACACTCTGTACACTGTGTACACTCTTCTTTATTCGCTGTTCTTTTCACGCTGTGTAACGGGACATATTTATTCTGTTACTACCCACCCATTTCATCGCCTCGCATGAATTTCGGCTGTCTGAAAATAAAAAGATGTCCAATCTTAAAATTCGGGACACACTTCGCGATGTCTCCTCGTTAGACATACATAAATATCACTCTTTCAGGAGCAATGAAGGGAGCCTTATCATCCATCTTACCGTGGGTCGGGGAAAACCAGCCTATTATGATAAGAGGCCCAGACGGTTGCGGGAAAAGCACCCTAATATCCGTTATACTGTCTACCATCAGAAACAACGAGCCTTCGACTTTGATAAAAGGATCGTCCCTTTACGGGCCCCAGGATTTGGTGACGAAATTGAAAAGAGGCTGCGTGCAACTGAACTCATCCTCACACGGGAGAACGTATAAACCTAGAAATGGTTCGAGAGTTGTCTTGATTTTGGAAGATTTGCACCTTGCTTCCAAGGATTTGCAGGTATTCTCACATTAGACAACATTCTCACGTCGATAGTATATTCGAAATCTGTTTGTAAATTTTTTTATAATTTTCTTATTCACGAGCTAAATGTATCGCAAAAAGTAGGTGAAATGCGTCATTTATTTTATTTAGGAGTTGGTACGAGAGCTTCTTCAAGAAGGAGGGTTCCACGAGGAGGATCTTGAATTTGCCATTGTTCCTTTGACCATTGTTTGCACAGCTGATGCAACGACTAGACTACACCCGAGGCTGGAAGCACTTTTGTCTACTCACTATTTACCGTTAGTATATCGCCTAACAGCATTATCGGATCACTTCACTGGTAAATTTAATTACAATTGGGCCAAACCTCGATTCCTACCACATTTCATTTATTGAATTGCGTACTTGTACGATCATCTTTTGAAATAAGTTTACTTTGCACGAGGAGGTTTCTATTTTGTTCAATTAAACATTCACTTTCTTTCATTCTATGTGAATGAAATTTCTTTCATTCCATTTTTAGTTTGGAAACTACTTGTTGTGTCGTAGGTATCCAAATCGAAAGGACATTGTATCAGTTTTGGAACTGCATCTGAGGAGCTCCTTGAAAGGGGACTATATCCTGATCGAATCTTGGATCGCGCTGATGGCGCCCGCCATGCTGGAAGCTTTCGAGTTAATGAAATCCTCGCATGGCTCGTCCATCGAGTGGACTCCCAAAGATCTGATTTCATGGGCCAATAGTTTAAAGTATTATCCAACCCCTGAAGACGAATCGAACGTTACGCGTCATTTGCTGGATGCTGGACGACGGTTATTCAATCCTAGGTAACATTTAAACTCAGGAATGGTATTTTTATTTAATCGATATATCAAGTAATAAATCATTTTTACCCATTCCAAATTTCACAAGGTTTTACAGAAACTGTTTTACAGAACTGATTTCACTTACTAAAACATTGCTTCGATAATAAAAATCTGATAATAAATCTCCATAAATCTAATGTTAATTTAATTGAAAAATTGATTTTTATTCCCCTGTCAAAGGAGATGCTTCTTCTCAATGTATTCTAGTTCTGATAATAATCATAGTTATCCTTCAATCTTGTCTAAATATGTTCAATCTAGTGTGAATTGTTATTTTCGAAACTAAACGTCGCACGAATAACCGTGTACGTCCTTCGCAGCGAAAGGATTAACGCGAACATTTTAATTGTCAGACTGTCGTCACGGGATCAGTCGCGCTGGGAATCGATAGTCCTGTCGAAGGCTTCCAAAGCACAAATTCGTGTAAGCGACGTGTACATATGGAGACTCGGAAATACCGGATTATTGCCGTTGGACGAGGAACAATGGACGAAGGAGATAATTAACGTTGTAGCGAGATGCGCCAGGGAAGGCGAGCCAGTGCAAGCGTCGATTTCGCTTCACCTGTTGCGCACCGTGGCCGGTAAGCGTATTAAATTAGGTTAATTTTATGTTATTTTGCAAACAAGCGTAATCCCGCGGTCGTTGACGTCGTGTCGAGCCACTTCGTATATTTAACAAGATTAAGCTTACCCGTGGGTGTCCTTGTTTGCTGTATCGATCCCTCCGCTGACGATCCGTGTAATTACCAGTTAGTTAGCCCCGTGATTGCCAACTGCAGGGTTTGCACATTGTTGCCCTAATCGTTCTGTTATGTAGAATAACGTAGACTGGTTAGAATTCACGCATCCGCTTGAAATTTTGTTATTCAATTTACTTGCGTGGAGTGTAGATGGTGGAGGGACGTATGATGGGATATTGCTAAAAAAACTAATTTTCCAACTGTTTTCAAGGCCTGAGTTGGGCATTTGGAACTGATCTGAGAGGCGTAATTTTAATCGGACGACCTGGAGCAGGAAGAAAATCGGCCGCGAGACTCGCTGCCACCTTTTCCTCCCTTCGGCTAGTGGACTCTGGACCTGGTACAGTATAATGTGACGATAAATAGGAAAAGTGATTTTAAAAAATGAGTTGTTCAGGGCGTGGCCGAGTATCGATGAAAACTGCGGTTCAGGCTGCTGGAATCGACGGTGAGCCGACTCTGGTTTTGCTGGAGGAGCACCACATGAGAGAGAGTGGATTGGCTGTTTTGGCGAGTGCAATAGTGTCAAGAGGAGAGCTTCCAGGACTATTTACAGTGGAGGAACTCGACGGGTTAATAGCGCCGCTGGCTGACGTGGCGAGGAGGGAGGATTTCTCAGGCACACTGGAACAATACCTCTACCACCGTAAGCTTCCATTCATGATTCCTCAAAACAAAAATGACATAATTTGATATCGTTTGTGTTGCACATCAATTTTCTCCATATTCTTCTTACCTGAAAATGAAAACTTGAATGCCTCGTTCATCGGAATTTCTATTTCCTCCTTCATATATACCGAACTGATTATTAATTCGAAGCCACGGTGAAGTTAATAATTCTCTATCTACCGGTCTATACTCGACGAACTAATTTATACGTGGAGATTGCTCTGCTCTCGTTAGTACAGTAGAATATTAATATTTCAATCCCGAGATCCCGCATTCCACAGGTCAGAGCATTTGGTTAATATTCCTTCTACCATTGCCTCGTTTCGAAACCATCAAGATATTGTGATATCTATTACAATGATAGCTACGAAATCATATATTAATAATCTGTTTGATTTCATGCTTTCGAATAATACAATGTCAAGCTGTCGTATCAAGAATTGTTTTTTAAGTGAAATAAAAATGTTGTCTTTTCTTTCGCGAATACAACAATCAAAGGCTCTGAAAAATAAAGTATTCAAGCAAGTAACAAACGAGACGATCAAAAACTGCATTTCATAGTCATCACTTGTTCCCAAACATGCATTGCTTTTAGGTCTACGGAATTACCTTCGAGTCGCCATAATCCTGGACACGGGAGAACTGCGATCACTCTGGTTGACGCGTTCAGGGCTCCTCAAACACTGCGCACTAATCGGTCCTGGCCTCGGAGGCGAATGGTGGTCCTGGGAGATTCCGCTAACCGAACTGGCTATCCTTCAAACTGGAACGGAAGTGGAAGACACAGATGAGACACCTCCTGGTGTGATGGCGATGGTCAAGGCCCATCTGCAAGCTCCGCGACAGCAAAGAGCTCCAGCTCGGTTCCTGGCGATGCTGCACACCTGGAAACACTTGCGTGTTATTTGGAGCGAAGATCTAGAGCAAAAGCTGAGCAGCCTGCAAGCGGGTATAGGCAGACTGGAGGAAGCTGGCGAGCAAGTTGCCAAATTGGAGGATGAAGTTTCCAAGCAACGTCAGGAGCTAGAGGTAACTTCAAACTCCATTCGTCTAGCACACCAAAGTTTTGTTGGTTTATGTGAGTAGAGAGGTTCTTAACGGGTTGACTTGGGGTGATACACATACACGTTTCATTCAATAGATGTTAAAATATACAAACATTTCTCACGGACGTTGAATTTCTCATCAAAGTTCCTTCGATTTCCTATAAATTAATATGCTATTATATCCTACTTTTCCTGCTGTTTCGAGTGATTATGCTGAATTCTCGCTGCGCAGGCAGAACAAGGCCGAGCCAACGCGGCCTTAGAACAAATCACAGCCACTATGAGGGGCGCAACTGGCCAAAGAGGAGAGATGACCACCCTGAAGGCTGAAACTGAAAAGGAGAGCGCTGAACTGGCGCGCAGAAAGGTAAAAGTATTAATTCTAATTCTAAAAATTCGTTACAAAGTGTTGTACGTTATCAAACAGGCTGACATCGAGGGAGAATTGGGCAAGGTCGAGCCTTTAGTGGAACAAGCTGCGCAAGCAGTGGCAGGGATCAGCGCCGACGCGTTGGCAGAGGTTCGTTCCTTGAGGGCTCCTCCAGCACCTGTTCGAGACGTCCTCGAAGGTGTCCTTCGATTAATGGGGATAAAAGACACCTCTTGGAACAGCATGAAGACGTTCCTGGCGAAACGAGGGATCAAAGATGAGATTAGGCAAGTATCGATCAGCAGAAGTGATATTTCGATAGGAATTATCTATGTTTAAAATATATTACAAATTGATGAAGCGTCGGATTCTATGATTCACCCCTTCGCTGTCGTTTGATCCAGGACTTGGGACGCGAGAAGAAGCACGTCGTTCAGTTTGGACGCGGTCGAGAAGTTGGTCAAGGAGCGTCCCGAAAGTTTCGAGCAGAAAACTGCGAAAAGAGCCTCGGTGGCGGCTGCCCCATTGGCTGCTTGGGTCCTGGCGAATCTTCAGTACGGTCAGATCCTTCAGCAGGTCGCTCCTCTCGAGAGGGAACAACGACTGCTGGCTGAGTACGTTGAACATGCCCTTCAAGAGAACCCTCCAAACGAAAAAGACCGTGTCGGAACTTCGTAGCCATGAATTTCAAATCTTCTTTATTTCTATGGTCTAGTTTATTACTATGACGCGCAATATTTGATACTCTAGGCGTTTGTCTGCGGCTGAAGCTCAGATCGGTAAGCTGGCAGCTGGACTCAACAGTGTCGAAAGTCGCGTGGCCCAGCTTCAGGAGCAACTTGCTGAGCACTCAAGGGGTGCAGCAGCGCTACAATTGCGTGCCGAGGCTACCGAGGCTAGACTTGCAACTGCCAGGGCGTTGCTGAAGAAGTTGGACACGGAACATCGCGACTGGCAAGCACAGATGGAGGAGTTGACCACCAGAAAAGAGAAACTGGACGTCGAGGCTGCCAATGTGGCGTCGTTGTTGGTGTACGAGGTTGGTAACAGTCTGAGATTAGTGGATAAACTTTCAGGGTCTGCTGTATGCTCCTCATGGTATACGAATCTTACGAAGAATAAAAATAAGATAATTCTTATTTTAGTGCTTTTTCTTAAGTTTAAATTTACTTATACTCGAACAGTCTTGAATAATAATGAAACGCAGAATCCTGGAAGGGACGACAAATGGAAAAAGTTGGCGATCGACCTGCTGATCACCGAGAGAGAAAGATTGCTCTGGCGAGCGCAAGGTTTGCCAGCCGACACAGGAAGTCTCGTGGGCGCCTCCTGTGCTCTCCGAGGTCCTCTGGTTCCAATATTCGTGGATCCATCGGGGGTGGCGGTTTCTTGGCTGAAGAACAACGTTGGCTCCAGAATGGAAATCACGAAACCAGAGGATGAGAAATTCCTGACCACCTTGGAGCTCGCGGTACGATTTGGCAAACCTTTGCTGGTCGAGGAGCTGGTGGAATTTCCCTCGATTTTGTTGCCACTGCTACGCAGACGTCCTCTGAGGCTCGGCGACCGAACTTTGCCGGCCCCGCAGGGTTTCAAACTTTTCTTGGCCACTAGACGAGATCGATTGGACGGTTTTCCAAGAGAAGTTGACGCTGTCCTGTTCAGGATCGCCCTTGGGGCTGGGACGAAGAGCCTGGCTGAGAGATTCGTTGAAAGGGTGAGAAGAATTAAATCGATACATTAGTTGCATTAACATATCTTAACTTCAATTTGCCTCGCAACTTTTTACTGCTGCTAACTGCCAGTGTTCTTTTTATAGTCTAACCTGTTACCTTAGGATTCGTTTATTATTGCAAAATCGTTGCCTCGAGTGTGCAAGTATTAATTAACTGTTTTAGTAGACAGGTGAATGTCTACTAATAAGTACAGCCTGGCTTTGATGCAAAACCGTCATGTTACAGTCTTTTATTGTTGAAGCATATGTCATCATTTTATTTTTTTGATATTTGATATTTCGATATTTGCCAAAAAAACCATTAATTAATCTCGAAATATTGAAGATAGTATTATACAATTTTAAGTAAGCTAGCAAACGTTTAAAAGATTGAAGAAGGAAATTGAAAGAGCCAACGGTGGTTGGGGGTTAAACAAATGGTGAACTGGACATGAGGATTAATTACTTTCCCGACAGGTTTTGTTAAAGGAGACGCCAGAGCTGGCGACGCAAAGAAAAGAAGCACTGGAGCGCGAAGAAAAATTATCAGGCGAAAGGGACACAGCGAGATTGGATCTGTTGGCGCAGCTGGCTACCGCGAGAGGTCAAGACCTCCTCCAGGAATCTGAAGGATCTCAGGGCGGACTCTTGTCGTCGCTGGAAGCCACTCAGTCGAAAGCCAAAGAAATCGCGTCGGCCCTCGAGGAAAGCCGACGAAGCTTGGAAGACGTCGCCAGGTAGATGGAAAGCTGTCCAACATAAATGTAGTCGTTAATGAAATTCTCCAATCTCTGAATGTAGACATTTCGTCTACGGGTGAAAACTACAGGTAAGCTGATTCTTGACACTGTCAATTTTTATGGAATTGTTTTCGTGCCAGGAGAGCCACGGATCACGAGAAATTAGCCAAATTCGCCGCTGGTTTGTACAAAACAGTGAAAGCCTCGACAGCTTTGAGTCCATTGTATGTCTTCTCAGCGGAAGCTTTCACAGACATTTATTTGGAGGCTGAAGATTACAGAAGCTCGATATTCTCACAGGACCAGAATGAACAGAATAAACTGATCGAAAAGCGGCAAGTAGTACTAAATAATTCAATTATAATTCCTTTTCTTAAAGAACTGTCTTCGACCCCTTTTTAATATTCTTTAGATATCTATTAGACACAAAACCTCTGCAAAGAAAAATAAAATCAGCCGCATCTTTAGTAACGCATTAAAAAAAAAGGAATAAATAAATACAAATAAGAAATACAAATCTATACAAATCTATTTAACCAATAAATAATAAATGAACCGCGTGCTATATTTCCACCCCTATCACACATCGATAACTCTTCCTATATATGATCAAGACCAATCCCTGTCGCAGATTAATGGGTTTAACCCTGCATTACTGCGCGAAAGCCGTATACAGAAAGCATCGACTACCCCTGGCGCTGCAGCTGGCACTCTCCTTGCATTCAGTGCCGGACGTCGAGAGGGACTTCCTGTTGGGTGAAGTAGCATTGAACGATGACGAAGATCCCGATTACAGAGTGCCCGAGTGGGTGCCCGAAGAACGACGCCTCTCCGTTAAAGCTCTGGTGTCATCCCTCCCTCAAGTATAATTTACTACCCCTACGCGTATTATTAGTATACCACTTCCTGTTACACGTGAAACACTTCTGTTCGTTTAGATAGCCACGAAGATGAAGCCAGCCTGGCTGAACGACGTTGGCAATATATATTCTGAAAGCGGGTTGACCACGTTTCAGAAAATTCTAATCGTGAAGACCCTGCGACCGGACTATCTCCACACGGCTCTGTCAAAACTGGCTGCAGAAGTATTAGGTGGATTACTCTTTAATTTTCTTTTCTTTAGTGTCTTTAATCGAGCAAACTATATACGTGAAATAATGCCCGCTCTCCTTTTCATTAATAAAATCTTGTGTTATGGTATGATGTGTAGGTGTCAAAGACCTGGCACCTCCACAGTGGTCCCTGAAGAAAGTAGCAGAACAGGAAGCCTCGTACCCAGTGTTATTGCTACTATCTCCAGGAGCCGATCCTGGTTCAGAGTTGAGATCACTGGCCACCAATCATGTTGCATCCGCCACTGGATTTATGGAAGTCTCTTTGGGTCAGGGTCAAGTTGGCCAGGCTGAACTCGCGCTGGAAAGTGCTTGCAAGTAATGTATCATCCTAGACATCTACGGAAACTAATTTCAAACTATCTACGCTCCGAGAGTTTCACCCTCTATATCTCTGTTTACATACTTTGTATATGTATAAACGTGACTGTGTACTCTCCATACCTATTCTTGTTACATTCATCAAGTTCAAATATTTAGATCCACTAATTTTCAAGCTAACGTACGTAAGAAATATTAGATTGTCCTAACAATTTCTTTCGCGACAGCAAAGTAATGACTAAAATCTTCCACCCCCTAAACCAACCCATACCACAACATATCTCACTCTCAGAAGAATCCTTAAATCCTATATAGTGATCAGTAACCTCATTAACCCACTTCAAACAGAAACGGTAGCTGGATTCTCCTGAGCAACCTGCACCTGGCTCTAAACTGGTTGCCCCGATTGGAAAGCTTTCTGCGATCGCCCATGTGCACGACCAATAAGAGCCCCACTACGAGGATATGGTTAACCACAGAGGAGTGTGTAGGATTCTACCCGAGCCTCGCGGGCCTCTGCTTGAAGCTCGCGTACGAACCACCGGAGGGCGTGAAGAGGAACGTGAAGAGGTCTCTCCAGCAGCTCCAGCAAAGACAGGAAAACAACGCGAACGTTCCCGGAAGCGTTTTGTTGTCCTGGCTCCACGCCACGCTTCAAGAGCGACGGAAGTTCGTCCCTCAGGGCTGGATCAGGCCTTACGAGTGGAACGAGGCCGATCTCGATGCCGCCTACGAGTTGGTCGTCAAGGACATGTCCTCGAAGAAGGAGAAGGACAAGGACGGGGTATGGCAGACTGGCAGAGGGTTGTTGGACGTCGCTGTTTACGGTGGCAGGCTTCAAGACGACTACGACATGCGAGCGTTGTGCTCGATCGTTCGCGATATCTGGTCCTCGGCGGTGTTCGAGGGCCGCAGAAAGCTGGCTGGCGTGCTGAGGGTGTCTGAAAGATCGTTCGAGGATGCAGTTAAAGCTTTGGAACGTCTCCCCGATAATGACTCGCCTAAAGAGTGCTTTGGGTTGCCTGCGAACGCCCACAGGGCTTGGGAGAGGGGTGCAGCTGAGGCTGCCTTGTCTCATCTGAAAGGTTCGTTATCGTCGGAACGTTTCCGAGGTTGACAGGATTCCTGGACGTACGGGATTAATTTTTCTTGGGTGATGTGCGAGACCGAGAGATTGGAGTCGGAGTTGGTCGGAGAGAAAGATGGTGGAGGGTTGGCTTGGACGTGGGGCTATTTATCAGTTGAACAGCTGCTAATTGATTTATAGACTACTGGTATATGACAGGGCTTGGACAGATATTTTTAACGATTAATTGCGTTGAATTCAAGGCAAGATCTCTGTTGAATGAATTTTACTAATAGATACAGCCAGTAGATCCTTCTTGGTCCAAATTCTTAGACTGGTAGATAGTGTCTATTCGAAGCTAGGAATTCATTCTGTTGACAATTTATAGATTGAAACTTATAGATCGTATTAAGAGGAAATGCACACCGTGGAGGCAATTGCACCCTGTCAGAATTGTGTAAAAAAATCATGCAATTCTTTGTAGGTGTTCTGATCAAAGTGTCTGGGAACGATGAAAGGAGGAAGAAAACAGAATCCAAGATACAGAGGGACTTGAAGGACTTGATCGATCGCAATGGTTCCATATTTGGAGCGCCACTTACTGTGGAAAGTAATAAGAGTAGAAATCCTTTGGAACGTTTCATTATCGACGAGATGAGTTTAACTAAGAAGACTCTGAATCTTGTTCGAGGAGACGTTGACACTCTGGACTTTGAGGATACTAAGGTTAAGACGAGTGATTTTATTTATTTATTAATTATCTCAGTAATGCACAGATGAAAATGGGGTTTAGAATTTTCTTTTTATGATTTTACAGACTCCGAAACGTTGGATGAAAGAGTGGCAGAGCGGGCCCAAAGACGTTTCGCTTTTCGTTAAAGGACTCATGTCCAGGTACCAAAGTCTCGAGTCCATGTTGTCGACGTCTTTCTCCATAATCGATATATCACGCCTGGCCAGGCCACGTGCATTCCTGACTGTGCTGAAGCAACACACTGCGAGAGAAACGCGACAACCCCTGGAGAATCTTCGACTTCGCGTAAATTGGTTGGAAAATCGCAGGAACGAAGGGTGGAAGGTGTCAGTGATCATCGAAGGACTTCTAATATCAGGTATTATACAATATTATTATTAAATATTTGTCACTGTTGCATTGGAAGAAATCTCGTAACTGTAGAAAGTTCTTATTTTTCTTTGAAATGTCTATTTTGATTCCACTGGGGTGTATTAGACATGTTTGATTATTGCAAATACAGGTGGATTGATAGAGAATGGCACGTTGGTAGACCTGGACGCAGACGCGCCATCAGTTGCAGCTGCACCTACCTGTCAGATTGCATTCTTACCCGAAAACTGCACAGAAGAGAGTTCAGCCAACAAGGCAATGGGTGATTCCCTGCGTAGCGATGATACAGACATGTTGAACATACCTGTTTATGCAAATTCGCAAAGGGACGTATTAATTTCATCGCTACCTGTCAGGTGCCCCAGAGAGGAGCAAGATGATTGGTTACGTCGAGGGGTTGCTTTTCATCTGAAATTGACATAATTTTCCCTTTGAACACTAATTGCAACCTGAACACTGATTAGTACTAGATCTTTTACATAACCACTGAAATAGTATAATATTATTTATTTATGAACAATTAACTCTTCACTATATATTTTTATATTGATAATTTAAATATATTAAAAGACGACGTACTATAATATTATTCTGCTATTTAAAAAAGTATTACAGTATTACTTATATATGCAGTGAATGTATGATAGTACTTACAGTATTAATTACATAATTTGTTACACACGTTTCTGTATTAATAAGGAAAAAATAAATCTCACTACAATATTTCCACCTAAAGAATTGTATTTATTTATGAGTGACTAATCTACGATTTGAAAATGAGCTTGTCGAATAATTTATACTGTCATTACGTAGTTTCTTCCTTCATTATATACGCTAAGTCTACATAAAGACAAATTTATGCTAAAGAGCATTCGTAGTGTCTCGGAATAAACACGAGTTAATTAAATAATGCACGTGTTAGAGCTCGTGCAACTTGTTGCACTTAATTTGCATCAGGATGTAAACGCAGATAAGGAGTCTCGTTATCACAGGGAAAAGCTTTTCAGATTACTTTACTGCTTTAGTTCACGCCACAGATGTGTATTTCAACGTTTAAAGGTAAATAGGTTATTTTCGTTTCTAATAATTACTCATTTATACATTCCTTTTTATTGATTTTTATTCGTTTCATTTTTATGAATTTTTGAGGTTTAATTGAAAGTCTGCGCTATCATAACTGCAAATATTAATTCAAGAAGAATTGTGATAACACGATAAACGTGATAATTCTAATGGTTTATTATTTTTTCCTTACATTATGAGCCGTCCGATAGTATGAAAAACTCAACATTTGATTTAGGCTCGACCACATTCTGAAAACCGTTATTTGAAGATAATATTAATTACACTAATTAAAGTAAACATTGCCATTGAACGTGACCATGATATTATTTCATTTAATAACAGGATAATGGACTGTAAACGTGGATGCAATTGAATTATCATGACATAATTTCAATTTGTAATACGATAATAAGATGTAAATAATATAATTACATCACTCGAATAAAAGCAAATAATGTTATCGGTAATTACCATAAAATTGTTTCAGTTAATAGTAGGATAATTGACTGTAAATAATTATAATGCTACACAACCAATTAAACAGCAGAAAAGGATGAGACGAGGTTTAAAAGTAATTATATAAATGGCTTGCTCTCGGTCCGAGAAGTTGATCTATAAATCTTCATTGAAGCTTCGATAGTCGAACCAAAGTTTGGCAAGCTTAATTTCTCCTACGTGGAAAAGTAGTTTGGAAGTTTTCATCGGGGAGAAGATTGAGTGCAGGACGTCGTTACTGCTTTGTCCACAGAAGTCGTAGCCATTTGGACCAATCGAAGGTCTCCAACTAGTTCCAAACGATAATAAAATGACATCTCCAAAGCAATTGTACAGAGTAGATAAAAAGCAACAAAGGGACCATTCTTTCTTCTCACCCTTGAGAATTTAACGATATTTGTAAGGTGTGCTTTCATTACGTTCTGGAAACACCATCTTTTAGATCGTGTGGTTAGTATTTATTAAAATTTGTATATTTCGAAACTAAATAAATTTTAGAATGACAGAGTTTCAAAGTATAGAATTTCTTCTCACAATTCTACTTTTCAATTTTTTTAAATAATCAATAGACCAGAAACACAAATATATACAAAACATTCGAAAAAAACAAACAGAAAATGCTTCCATTTAAAATTGAAAACCACGAAGGATAGCTTCAACCAATCCTATTAAATAACCAATAGA